GAGATTCCTGTGAAGGGATTGCTTGAACTGTCATTTGCACTCTTCCAACAGATAACAGTGAGAATCTCCTGGATAACTGGGGTCCGTGGTCAGACTGGAACGCATGCTCTGCGCTCTGCGGTCAGTCGGGGGTCCAAGTGCGCTCCAGAAACTGCCAGTCACGCTCTGCGCCTTGCAGTGGACCTAAAGCGGAAGAGGTAGCATGCAGTGGACCCAAGTGCCCCAAAACAGGTGAGCTGGCCATAGATTAGTCAGACAGACCCTTTTCCTGCAAATGCAATTTATTCATATGCAATTCCGGGAGATCCAGCGTTCATTCAGTGGCTAACTTGTTATATTTGACTCTTTAGATTGTTCCCTGCAGTGTGTGATGGGGAAGGTAAATGCCGAGTGTGACGCATGCATGTGTGAGGAACACATCCTTCTGGGTTCTGTTCGTGGTGCAGGGGGTCTCACTGCTGAAGGTGCTACTATCCTTCGCTCTGGCAAGCTCCTTACCCTTACCGACCACAATGGGCATTTCCGCATCCCCGGTATCTGCCCTGACGGCAACACTACCCTGTCGGTCCAGCTGCAGGGCCACTCCACCCTGAGTGCTGTTGTGCCCCACAGTGGTGAACGCACCTCTGTCCTCAGTGTCCGGCTGAAAAGAACAGGTACAGCAGATTTGCACCAAAATATTTCAGTGCAGCTTACCAAAAGGTTTGTTAGATAACAATTAATCCAATTTTTACCTCTTAATGTGATATTCCAGAGAAGCTTCATTTGTTGGGCAGCCCTGAGAGCAAAGTCAGGAGGGAAGGACACACCGCGGCCTTCTGCTGCAAAGTGTCAGGAACACCACAACCAGACACGTACCAATGGTAGGACCTGATACAGTGAATTTGTAGACCACTAATGTTCGAGACGAGACAAAGTTTAGACCGAGTCATGTTCAGGACCATATTAGTGTCTGTTTCAATGCCAACATAGTGATTAAGGACAGGAGTCATTTATACATAAACAAAAGTCATGTCTTCTAACATCAAACTAATCAATGCTTTGAATTAAGTTTGAGAACCAGGTTTCTACAGGTATGTTATGGAAAAGGCAAGGTGTATTTCTTTTTTTTTGCCTAACATCGTGAGAAGATTCCAACTCTTAACTACTGAATGCAGACAAGCAGAGAACAACTTGAGCAGTTCTCAATAAATGAGCCCTAAACCATAATGAGTACTAGACTTGAGTACTACAGCCCTGCATGGATGCATCAAAAATCTGAATAATATTGAATATTTAATGACTTTGTTTTCCTTTTCTTCTGAACCAACAGGTTTCATAACAACAGCCTCCTGGAGAAGCAGTCTGAGGGCACCATGGTCCTGAAAAACCTGCGCCTTGACCAGACTGGAGAGTACTATTGCAAAGCAAGTGGGCCGTCAGGTGCTATTAAGACCAAACCAGCGACACTCAAAGTTTTAGGTATGTTTTCAGTAAATGTATATGAAACATACAGGAATGTGAATGTATATACTTTGTAAGCATGAATAAAGCATAATATATAGTACCAGTCACAAATTTGTACACACTCATTCAATTGAAAGAGAGTCCAAACTTTTGACTGGTACTGTAAATGGAAATGCTTATTCATTGCACATTAGAAAGATGGCATTAGGATCCAACAAAATACAACATTTCATCTGTTATACAGGTAGAGACGAGCATTCATGTAACCCCAGCCCTGAATCCCACCTCATCCGTCTTCCACATGACTGTCACCAAAACAGCACAGACTCCTTTTACTACGATGTGGGCAAGTGCCCCTCAACTATATGTGCTGGACAGCTGGACAATGGCATCAGGTGCAAAGACAAAATGGCATACTGCTGTGGTGTCAAAAAGATGGAGAAGAGGCAACTAACATGCCAGGGCTACCAACTGCCCACCATGGTGGTGACTGAGTGCGGCTGCCAGAAATGTGTGGACACCAGGGCCATCGTGCACGGTAGGGCAGTGGCTGCAGACAACGGTGAGCCAATGAGGTTTGGCCACGTCTTAATGAACGGAGTCCGAATCAGCCGAACCGGCTACAAAGGTACCTTCTCCATCCAGGTTCCTCCAGACACATTGAGGCTGGTCCTGACTTTTGTGGATAACATGCAGAAATTTGTCAACACCACAAAGGTACTTCCATTTAACACCAAAGGAGGGGCTGTTTACCACGAGATCAAACTTTTGAGAAAGAAACGTCCTGTGACCATCAGCCCAACAGAAGTCAACACTCTGGAGCTCGGGGAGGTAGAGGGCCAGGAGGCAATGATTCAAATACAGATTCCACCCTATGCCTTCTATACAGAAAAAGGAGAAGTCTTCACTGGTAATGTAAATGCCAGCGTGACGTTCCTAGACCCCAGAGACGTCTCCACAGCAGCGGCAGCGCAAAGTGATCTCAACTTTGTAGGCGACGAAGGAGATACCTTGCCCCTGAGAACTTATGGGATGTTCTCAGTGGACTTTAGGGGTGAAGAAAACAACGAGCCGCTGAACGCAGGTGAAGTGAAGGTGTTCCTAGATTCTGCCCAGGTAAAGATGTCGGAGCACCTCGATACTATGAAGCTGTGGTCGCTGAACCCCGATACTGGCTTGTGGGAGGAGGAAGGAAGTCTGCAGGTTGAGAAGAAAAGGAGAGGAAAGAGGGAGGAGAGAACCTTTCTGATTGGCAACATGGAGATCAGAGAGAGGCGCCTTTTTAATCTGGACGTCCCGGAAAACCGAAGGTGTTACGTGAAAGTCAGAACCTTCCGCAGTGAACGCTTCATGCCCAGTGAGCAGGTGGAGGGAGTTGTGGTAAGTCTTATAAACATGGAGCCCACAGCTGGCTACTCTTCTAACCCGCGTGCCTGGGGCCGTTTCGATAGCGTCGTAACTGGCTCCAATGGGGCCTGTCTTCCTGCTTTTTGCGATGAACAAAAAGCTGATGCCTACTCGGCGTATGTCATGGCCAACCTTGGAGGAGAGGAGCTGGAGGCCGTCGCTTCTGCTCCCAAACTCAATCCCAACCTAATTGGAGTGCCCCAGCCTCGCCTGGGCAAGCTGAACTACAGGCGGACGGATCATGAAGACCCTAAAGTGAAGGCGACTGCATTCAGCATCAACGTGGCAAAACCGAGTTCCAACACAGCGGAAGAAGGCAGCGGACCAGTGTACACATTTGAAAACTTGAAGGAATGTGAGGAGGCGTCATTCAGCGCAGCACACTTCCGCTTCTCAAGAGTGGAAGGAGATCGCTACGATTACAACACAGTGCCGTTCAATGAAGACAACCCCATGAGCTGGACAGAGGACTACCTGACCTGGTGGCCAAAGCCCATGGAATACCGGGCCTGCTACGTCAAAGTCAAAATCAACAGCCCGCATGAGATCAATGTGCGGTCCCGTAACATGGGCGGCACCCACCCAAAGACGGTGGGCCAGCTGTACGGCCTCCGAGATACACGAAGCATCCGCGACATGGACCGGCCAACGGTTTCAGCAGTGTGCCCTGGAGTTCAAGTGTAGCGGTATGTTGTACGATCAGGAACGTGTGGATCGCACCCTGGTGAAGGTGATTCCGCAGGGAAGCTGTAAAAGAGAACAGGTCAACACAATACTTCAGGAGTACCTGGTCAACCACCTGCCCCTCGCCGTCAACAATGACACCAACGAGTTCACCATGCTCGCACCTCTCGACCCCCTGGGCCACAACTACGGAATTTACACAGTGACGGACCAGGATCCGCGCACGGCCAAAGAGATCGCCCTGGGACGCTGTTTCGACGGCAGTTCCGATGGTACATCTCGCGTGATGAAAAGCAACGAGGGCGTAGCGTTGACGTTCACCTGTGGAGACCGTGAGGTGAAAAGCCAGAGTCCCTTCCAGGCGAGTTCTCAGCGTCAAACTGTGACCAGCGCGGCGAGAGGAGAAGGCAGGCAGAACCGGCGCCGACAGAGGGCCAACGCGCCACGCAGCAGTGGGCGTAGCACAAGAAATCCAACGGGACGGCGCACAAAGGACAGAAGCTAAATGACAAGAATCGTTGCTTGGGAACAAAGTTTAGATCTGAAGTAATGAGTCCAGGATTTTTGATAAACATTTTATTTAGTTTTTTCAAATGAAGGGTATATTTAATTAAACAAAGCTAGACCCATTCCTTGCAGTTTTGTTTTACCTTACATTTTTATCTGTGGCAAATATTTACTTGAAACTGTAAATAGAGTATTTATTACACATGCTTTAGAATTCAATAATCTGGGTGCGGCGTTATTGCATTCAAGTTTCTTTCATTGATGTAAACAAGAGAAACAGATTTTTGACCAGTGATTTATTAAATTAGATGCTTATAAAACACTGCAGATGCGGTTTCTTCCACAATGTGTGTATCCATTTGTCCATGTAAGATTGAAGCTGGTCAATTGCTGGAAAAAGGAGAAATACACCATTTACTTTACTGTAGAAAGTAAAGTATGAAGAAATGGTGGGTGCAGCCCATAAGCCCCTGCTCCTCATCACACTTGATACAAGCCTGCAGAAGCAATGATTAGGAGACCAGTTTAAGCAGACCTAACCTGATCCATACCTTTTCCGCATTAGTAGAAATCAAATTAGTAAATTATTTTATTTCGAATGCACAAAAAAAAAAAAAAATACCTGTGCCATGTTTTCAAGAGTATTCCAGAGATCTATCAAGAAGATGGCTATGAGGTTTTTAAGTCACATGTATTATAGCCTACTTGTCTATCCCTTTAACCTTAGAGTGAATGGCATGTTCTCTGTAAAATTACAACTAGTACTTACATGATGTGTCAGTCTCATAAAACCACCCACAATGCAACCTTTCCAGAGATAAAGATGAATAGTTGTTCTGAATTTGGCAACCCAAGTTATAGATACTATATACTTCCCTGTAAAAAGAACCGTCCACAGGTAAGCAAGAGCAATAATAGATTTGTGAAATTCTGGATAAAGAATTTGCATAGGACCGTGTTTTTCCATGTAACTTTACTTAGAACTGCAATACTGTATCTGCTGTTTCAAAAGAAGCAACATTTAATAAAAAATGAGGCCTGCAAAACTCAGCTAACAGCAATTACAACGTATTCTCCATTGAAGCTGAGTCATCCAACAGATAATGTATGTGTGTGAGAAGAGGCTGAATGAGACAGAAAAGGCAATTCCATTAGTATTAACGTAAAGAGTTGGTGAGACTGGATGCTCCCTGGTGTAGTCCCTCGGGTTGTTGAAGCAAAATGGAGGAAACACATAGTTCAGATTTTCCAGGATGCCACTGGACAGCATGAAAAGGTACAGCTGCATTTCTGAGGGTTAGGAGGGGGAAAGGGCAGTAGTGATGGAGCCAGTGTCACATGAAATCCTCATAGTCTTGGGCGTAGCCACCATCAAACTCTGCATAGTCAAGGTCATCCCTCAACTGTGCTTTCAATCCGCCTCCAGGTACGACCCCTTTCTTCTTCTTCTTGCCTTTGTTTTGCTGTAAAGGAAATTAAAAACGTTCCATATTAGATTGAATTGAATTAACCATGAGAACTTTATAGCGCCATTAAACATTGAATTAATTCATTAACCATCTACATAGATTACCGTATTTTCCGCACTATATGGCGCACTTAAAAGCCTTTAATTTTCTCAAAAAACGACAGTGCGTCTTATAATCCGGAGCGTCTTGTATATGGATCACTTGGTTGATCCACACTGGTTGTACACTGCGGTCAGTCAAAATGTTTCAGTATGAAAAACCAATAATAATAAATGTTTCGGTGCGACTGGTAAACTACAAAGCCGCACCACTTGCAGCATTACGGCTACCGTAGTCAGTAACCACAGATACTGTGCTTACTTACAGTTAAGGCCGGCGCATGCTTCTGCGTTTGCGTCGTTGCGTTGACGCACTCGTTTCAATTCATGCTTCTAAAAGTCTTGCGTGTGTTGCAGAGCAATTCACCACCAGAACAACAGGCGGAGTAACGTGTTTCTGATGAAGATGACCTAGAGAGTCACGTTTATTTATTTATTGATTTATCATAGACTTTATTGCCCCGTGCATCGATACTGCTGCTTTTCATTGCGGACACATTTGTCCCGTATTTTCCTCCACAACTTTGTGCACCTCTCGACCGGCATACCGGTGTTTGCGGCGAGCTCCCTCCATTGATCCAACCCGCTTCTACAACCCGCCAATGACGGCTTGGAGAAACCAATGACTGTTCTCTCTACAGTCAGAGCTTGTGTCTTATAACCCGCTGCGCCCTATGTATGAAAAATGTTTTAAAATAAGTCATTCATTGAAGGTGCGCCTTTTGATCCGGTGCGCCATATATTGCGGAAAATACGGTAGTTTTACTGTGAACACACATACATTGGTGTACCTTCCTGGGTGAACAGCACCCCCTTCTGCATATCAATATATATGAGAAGAATACAAGCACTCACCTTTTCTTGTTTCTGTTTTTCACTAAGTAGAGCTGCCAGGGAATTACTGACTTTTTTCAAGTCCTCTACTTCCACTGTCAAGAGGGAGAAATGAACTCTTTGTTAGTTAAGCTGGCTTTGATTGAAATAAAAAAGGTGAATAATTAGATATACGTTTAGCAAAAATAGTTGCAAAAGAAGCTGCTTACATGAAATACAGAGTTCCCGAAACAATGAATCCAAGAAACTTGAATAATGCACTGATTTTTCAAACTGGGATATCTTTTCTTTCAGCAAATTTTCAAACTCTGTGAAGTCTTCTTTAGAAGATGGACACATGGCATCAATTCCTGCAACAGCGATTGAAGTGCTGCTAACACCTGAAAAAATACATTGAAAATACAATTAAAAGTCTGCTGAAAAGCCATAATTGATCAATTATAATGTGGTTACTTATGGGACAAGTCAAACTGTATTCTGTGTAAAATACCTGCTCTGCAGTTTGGCTATTTTTTTTTATGTATTTCTAACCGTTAAGAGATCTTTTGTTTAAGTGTTTGAAATGACTGTCATATTGCCTGGTAACAGACTATTTCCACATCTTTTTAATAATAATTTCTCACCAAAAGCATCTTTCGCAAGCTCCAAGTCAGCAGCTTCCTGTAATTTCTTCACCCTCAACTTTTCTGCAAGTTGTTCTTCAGGATCAAGTTCTTCCTTCAAAACAAACAAAAAAAGTCAAAAGGTCAAAATGAAGGCTTTATAAAAAGTGACAAACGTTTGTAAATGATGTACAACTATCAAGGCCGTGAGAAGGGGGGGTGCGAACTCACATCCTCCAACTCTTTCTTCTTCAGCTCCTGTTGGATCTTCAACTGGTTCTCTTTCTCTTTGATCTTCTCACTCAGCTTTTTTTTTTCAGAAACCTTTTTTTCCAACGCTTTAAATAATGGAATAAAAACATTTCATTTCATTTGCACAATTTGCAAAAGGCAGACTAATTATAAACATACAATAAAAAAAGATTATTATGAAACTGGCAAAAATCATCAACATCTCAGTACCCTTTTTCTTCAGCTCTGCCTTTTTTTCCTTTTCTTCCTCATCATCATCCCAATTGTCCTGTAAAAAAAATTGACACGACGACAAAGTTAACATTTCATACATAACAAAAAGAGTACATCACTTAGTAAATCCAAATCAAAGGCTTTTGGACCTGGATGCCCTTTTCAAAATACCACCAACTCTATAAACTACAGCACAAGGAATGTCCACAGGGGAGATTATTATAATGAGAGCAAAGCAGCCTTTAATTTACATTTGTTACATGTCACTTATCTATAATAGTCAATATGCTAGCATTAGATCACCTTATCTGTTAATGTAACTAAGTGTAAGTCGTAGCAGTAAGATCTATAACCAATGGGCAACTGTTTAATGATAATCATTTTAAAAGAAATATATATTTTATGCATTTGCTACCAAAAAAGACAAAAAACAATAAGCAACTTATATTTAAAAAGATACACCAATTATTCAATGGGCATTGAAAAGCAAACTGTTGTATTTCAGTATGTTGTAGAAACACTAACGTTACATCAAAACAACCCACTCACATATGAATGTCTTTTGGGCCGCTAATTTGACACCAAGTTGAGGGCACCATATGTGACAAAGCTGAATCATTGAGGCCTCTACCAGCACTTTCCCTAAGTCAACATCAGGAGGTTTCTGTACAACAAGCACGTCAACATGTCGCTAAAAACCACTTGTACCAACAGTATCAACGGAGGACCAGCTTCCTACTGCGAGCCCGTTGGGCCTCATCCACGACCTGCGTGTACTCATCAACCCGTATGACGATTTAATCCGAATGTGGCTAAAGTTGGTTAGCCGCCTCATGTCGAGCGTAACTCGGGCTGAGAGGATCCAGGACAACACGCACAGTATCACAAAGCCATGTAACGCAACGAACTCGGATTATTGATGAGAAAACGGGTCGTTATTTAACACTCACGTACTCCAGTCAGCCCACTCTGGGGGCTTTCGTTATGTACCATTCAGCCGCATAGCCGTGATATAACGTTAGCGAGTTGGTAGCCAACTTGAGTGGCCCGTTAAAAAAAAGATCCAAGCTGCCTGTCCAAATTTAGACCGGTTGTCGTATAATTATAGTAGATTGTAAGTATATATGGAAGCAATCTACACCGGCGTTCTGGTGATTTAGTTCGAATCAACAACCGGTAACTGGCACAGCGAACGGTCGCGTCGGTAACGGTACACCGGTTGAAAAGGAGTGCTAGCCTAGCGTTAGCTAGCTTTAGCGAGGTTACCGGAGGCTTCCAGATGGAGCCGCATGAGTTAGCTTCGTGCTAGCCGATGGCTAACGCGGGGCTGAAGCGTGGGGACGCACACGACACTACCGTAACATTCCAGTTAACCGGTCACACCGACCCGCGGAGCCTGACTTATGGGTGTTAAAAAAAATAACATGTACCTTAACATCGTCCTCGTCGTCTTCGCCTTCCCACTTGTCCATCGATGCCGCCTTTTTAATCGGCTCCTCCGGCTCGAAGGTTTCAGCGTCTGTAAAAAAACGACAACATGAAAACCGTCAGTCCGATCCACATCTAAAATGTTCAGAGGCGAAGCGTTCGCCTCGTGGAACAACGTCGGCGTCAGACAAGCCATCCTCCCCAACTTAAGTTTCTCACCCCAGTCCGCCATGTTGGCTGTGTTGGTTGCGTTTGACAGGCGCGCAGCGGAGTCTGCGTGCCGCCCGTTGGCTGCGTTGAGAAACGGCTCCCACCTTCCGGACGTCACTCCGAGCGCTTCTCTCGTGACATGGCTTCCCGGAGCTGGAGTCACCGCCGGCAACGTGACACCGGTGCAGCGGCCCCGCCGGCTTTTTATATAACGTTAATTAAAACGTCGCGTAACAGGATGAGGGTGAAAGGGCGCGGGGTGGGTGAGTGAATTGATATATACTTAACGATAAGATATATACTTTATTTCAACAGATGGACCAACGTGAGTCATTACATCATTTTCTTCAAAACTGAATATTGACTCAATGTATTATGATACAATGTCCATAATTATCTTCATAATGTTGACTTAAAAAGTAAATAGAAATAAAAAATAGATAACTATATGAAAAAGGATGAGAGCAGTCCACTGCATTTTTATTTTTATATTATTATGAATAGAGTAGCTTAAGAGCAAGACCCAACCCAACCCCTAACTGTGCCCCCCAAAAAATGTAAACCTCGGGTTAATAATGCATTGTAAGTCGCTTTGGATAAAAGTGTCAGCTAAATGATGTTCACAGTTTGTTATATACCATGTTTATTGTAAATTGAAGGAGTCAATCAGAGGCAAATTCAGTTTAATAACTCAAATCTATCACACCTGAAGGTGTGGCCCACACAACAAAATTCACAGCAAAAAAGACTGATGCTAACCAACACAAATATTATAGAATTTGACAAAAATATAGAACTTTGTATATTTGCACAACTTGTATTTGCTACATGTAAATCTGTTTGGGGTGCTATTCTAGGCATGGTGTCACATCATAAGTGTCTGTGGGGATTCACATCAAAAATAAATTAATGAATAAATAAGCAAAATGTATATATGAGTATGATTGTGTGAGTGTTGGTTTGACTTTTAATATTTGTATTGCATACTGTCACTTTTTTTTATATTGTGAATTTAGACATTTAGTCGCTTTAGTGCTGAATATGATATGCGTATATAAGTGTAAGTTGGAGAATAAATGACTATCCCATTAAATACACTAAAGAAGTCCTGAAGGGCTGATTTTGCACGTATGAATAACATCCTCTGGGTGGTTGCGGAGGGGTTTCCTGATCCCGGGGAGGTGAGGGGGGTCATGTGCCCGGGCAGGGCAGCAGCAGCAGCATCAGCAGTCCCACTGTGAGACACAGAGGACTGTGGCTCAGTGCCGGCCCCAGTGACTTCCCTGCAGGAATAAAGGGAAACCAATTCAAATGCACTACAATGCAGGGTCGTCTTTTTATATCAGAAAAAAAGAACATTTTTGAATTGGTCAGTTACTCCACTATTAGCAGGCGATTTCTGTTGTGGCCGTTAAGTCAATGGAAGACTACTCATCATAATGTAATCTGTTTATTGTTATCCTCCCCGAAATGCACCTGCTTGCCAAATAACAAACATCAGTACAGTTTATTTCCACTGGCTTTGGTGAACCCTTGTTCAGTCATTAAGTTTCAATGAAATACACACACATATATATATATATATATATATATATATATATATATATATATATATATATATAGAAAAACAACGGAAAAAATAGAAGTCAAATTCCATCTATGCTCACACATTTTTGTGTCAGCGTAGATGGCCAGCAAAGCCTATGTTGTTGTTTTTTATATTATGCAATATATTCTATGAAACAACTAATTGAAAATAATTAAGCAATTAAAGTAGATATAAACAGCCTGATTTTGGTGACTGCGAGCACAACATAACGGAGCAACTGACAGCTGAAAAAAAATAAAACAAATAGCAAATAATGGATGAACAACCTCAGGACGATCTCAAAAAAGCAATTACATCTTTGAAAAAAATGTTGTAAAAATATTGTTGTTTTGTGAGTTTATTTTGGCAATAATTTTCTAACATCTTAGTTGTAGTGACCTATTAATACATATATTGTATTTTTTTTCACATCATTAAGTGTTCTATTTTGTGTTTACAAATATCAAAGACACTAAATTGTTAACATTTACATATGAAGTATTAGTAAAGTATGAGTATGGAATTGGGAGTAAACTTAATGTAGGGCGTTCACATTCACCACACAAAAAATAGAAGAAAAAAAAAAAAAGAATTGTATACCTTAAAAAAAAAAAAACTTCCTCACAATCATTGGTGTGCAATCAGTTTTTTACCTCTGAAGTCGACAGGCCTGTCCTCCCATGGCGTCAGCACCATAGCCAGAGCGGTCCTCTGGATGTCTGACAGAGCGGAGAGCTGCTCCACGGTCACTGCAGCCGCCTGCTCATAGGAGAACATGCTGATCTGTCTCTGGTGAAACACCACCTGTCTCAAAACGGACAGACATACAGAAACAGAGGAGCCAATTGGCAGAGACGAGATGAGAAAACATAAGGAGCCGTTAGAGTAATTGCACCAACTGAACCAGTCCAACCATTTGGGACTACAAAGAAAGAACGTATTAAATAGCTCTGAAGCTCTATTCCATCAAAAGAGCTCATGCTGCAAATATTTCTTTGCCGTTTCATCAAATGTTGACTTACAGAAAACTTATCAGGTGGTATCATAGAGACAGCCGCAGGTGTGATTCCTTCTATTTGCTCTCTAACCAGAGCTGACATTGCCATGTCTGGGAGACCAGCTGTAAAAAGGGCAAAGCGTTTATTAGAAAGTGAAGTAGAGAAAAGGTCTCCTGAGACAAAGACTCTGGGGTCCAACAATATGAGAGTGGCATTAAGATGGTGTCAAGAAAACAGATTTAATTGAAGAATTAAATGAGTGTGTGAATGTGGCGATGAACACAATACATTAGAATAAGCAAAACAAATGATATTTGTGCCCTACGTCCAATTAACACTACTGAGAATCTACACGTTTCTTACAGTGTATTAAAAATGCACCTGTCTCCATTGCTACAGAAGAAAAGTAAATTGTATTTCATTTGGAATTTGAATTTTCTCCTCCAAATGTGTTGAAGCCGGTGAGTGCGTAATACCTGCCAGAACGCCGATCTCAATGAACACAGCGGTGTCCCATGAACTCATGGATCCAAACGCAAGCTGGTTGGTCAGAAGCTCAACAAGAGCCAGCAGCTGCTCCTCTGAGCAGGACAGCCTGAGCTGACCCAGCCAGAGCACCGCCTTGCTGCAGCCACCGGGGGGAGACGCAGCGGAGCGAGTGGAGAAGGGAGGGGAACGACTTTAGACTGAATGTCATCAGCAGCAGAGAGCTTCTCAGGGACGCGCCTGTGAAACCCGCCCGCTTGGGTCTGCTCACCTGAACTCCAGAGGATTGAAATAACTCATCTCTGTGGTTTTTGCCCCACAGACGATGTGTCCCATCGCCACCAGCGTGCTGGAGTCGAGCTGGCTGGGGCTCTGCTGGGTGGAGTTTAACACGGCGGCAAACAGTGCAGAGAGCTGGAAAGAAAACGAGAGTTAATATCCAGATAATCTCTTTGAACGCTCAGTTGGTAGGCGAAATCTAATTCAGCTTCATTAAACAGTCTTACTGTCATTAAAGACCTCTCTGTGGTCATGGGAAAATGCAGATGTTAAACTCTGCTTGCTCAGAAAACTTATATTGAAAAATTCTTAAAGAAAAATGTCAAAAGTCAGAATGGGGTCTAAATGACGGTGCATAATCAGATTTAGTCAATGCAGACCGTTTGCCAAAGCAGCTACCTGTCTGTTGCTCCATGCTCTGAATGCACCGAGAGCAGCGATGCTGCTCCGCTCAGCCAACCGCAGGCCGCTCAGCTCCTCTGGGGACAGTCCCATTGCCAAACCACCCAACTGAGAGATCACAGACTGGGAGAAGGACGGGACGGCGCCGTGTATCTTCACATTCAGTAAAGACAGCGTAGATACAAAGTGTTAAGACCTGGACGCTGCACAGAGGAATCAAACGCGCTTGACTGAACTGCAGCAGCATCTCACCCGCTTGACTTTTTGGAGCACCTGGCTGCGCTGGTAGGATACAAGGAACGGGTCACGACCCATCAGCTCCAGACAGTTGGAGAAGGCCGATGAAGACATGCTGAGCAGACTGTTGGGGGTCCACGCAGAGGGAGATGTTGTGTGCAGAATCTCACAAGTAGGAACCATAGGAGTCGCTGGTGAAGGATACAAACGCAAATATCTGATCAGGCCATGCGGCTGACGTACAACATATGACTTCATATGTGCGTTGTTACAATCAAATATTAATGTATGACTGCCATACATTAAGGGAATAGTTAGACATTGGACATGGAGCATCATTGCACGTCAAGATGTAAATGTGCATAATGTGGGTCAAACCACCGTGTGTTGTTATTACACTTTAGTTTTTGTACAGACTACAGTAAAGCAAAACATGATGCGTTACTTGGTGAGCTTATGTTATTAACGGTAACAGACAGATAATACTTTCCATCAAACTGTCAAACTGTCACTTTAATCCTGGTCTACTGGGTTAATAGCTCGTGGTCGGAGAAGCAGACGTGGCTTTATTCCTCAAATGTTGAACTATTCCTTCAGACAGAACCACATGTCTGTTTTCAGAGATCTTAGGAACCAACTTGATGCTCACGTGACAACACATTTATTTTCAGGAAGCCCAGGAAAAACTGCAAAACAAACTGCCGCTTCTCAAAAGATCTCTGACGCTCGTTCTCGTTCGAACAGCGGCTCCCAATTTCCCCACGTTCCCATCGGTGGTGACTCATGAACAGCTTCTCGATACGCCACAGAGTCATCAACGCCTGTGGAAACACAAACAGCCACACGTGTGGACAGGAACTTCACCACCTGATCCTGACACCTGCTGGAGATGTGATCCCTGAGGGATTCGTTTACAGCCTTTGTCAGCTAACCGGCCAGGATCAGGTAACAATCCCAACGCTTCACTATGGATTTGAGTACATCGAATAAATTCGGTACAGGAATACATACGAGGGGAATCTCCTGCAGCCTGTTGTCGGGCAGGAAGAGGAGAAACCGGTCCACCTGGCTGAGTGTTGTGTGGTTCCAGTTGTTGATTGGGCTGTGAGGAAACAGGAACATTTGATCGCCTTGATACAGAAAGCTTGTGATATGTGAAACCCTAATGTTCCCCCCATAACTGTAAGCTTAGATACATGTCTTACTGTATATGTCAAACGTTTTGTATTGAGGATATGTGATGTCACGGATATATTATTATACACGGAAAATATTATTTGTTAAGACGATGTTGGCCCAAATAGTTAAAACATTAAATTTGAGTTGATGACGTTACCCAAAGGCGGCGGGTTCCAGCAGGATACCGGCCACAATGTCCATCTTGCTTTTGCTGTAGCAGAGCTCCTGGAGGAAGTCCAGATTCTTGATGAAGAAGCTGCGGTCAATCTGAATGAAAACTTCATCCACCACAAACGTTGCCATAATGCCCATTGAACGAAACTCCTCCTCGGTAAACACTCCAGTGTACATGCCCTGCAGAGAAAGAGCCCACCAAACATCCATCACACTCCAAATACATCTAACTGTTTTTTAACTCAAAGTCTCTTTTCTTCTTGTTTCTTTGCCTTTTAACTTTTGAAAAGAGGAAGGGGATCAGAAAGGCAGCGCAGCGGGGCTCGACTCACCATCCTCTGTGCCACTTTGTCAACGAGCAGCTCCTGTTTTATTCTAGACAGCAAGAGAAAGTGGTGAGGGTCCTGAACAATAGTCCTCCTCAGGGTGTCCATCAAATCCGTGGGAAACGTCTTGATGGTGCTCACTCTGCAAGCAAACACAGGAACAGAATGAGAAGGAGATAAATATATCTAATACATTGTATATTGAAAAGGAGGGAGTGGACGTTTTACATTCAATATTAGTATAATGTGCTATACTTTCTTTTTGTTTTTCTAAATATGTTCCCTGCAGACATGGGAGCCATTTTACAGTGAAAGTCTTTGAGATCAAATTCTTATCTGCATATGATGAGGAGGCAATTTTCTTGCAGTGATTTTTTAAACATCTGAAAACCCCTCAAACACGTTAAAAGTGGAGTTATGGCATCTTCACACTTACGGCATGGACAGGGCAATCTCGGCCCCAAGGTCCTTGATGAGCTCAAAGAAGAACTCAAACTGATACAGATTCTCAATCAGACACTTTTTCTGTAAAAAAAAAAGAAAAAAGAAAAACATGCAAGTCAAAGGAAATGTCACATGTGATATAGATCAAATACAGCCGTCCAATAGCTCGTAGAATGGCATCAATCAAACGGGCACGTGTACCAGTGAGGTGTGGAGAGGACCGGGCTGCTGTCTGAGGAAAGACAGGATTCTTCTCACTGAAGGCGGCGAAGAATCAGCACGAAAAAGTTCCTGTAGAACTTTACAGCTGACGCCCGGCCCCACTGTTCCCAGACTCCTGATGAGAGAAAGGAGGCGAGAACCAACACAATTAAAAGACACTGAATAATTTAAGAAGTGAGCACAGACAAAAAAAAACAGCATATTCATATTTAAGTCAGAAATTAACTGTACTCACAGCAGATTTGCTTCATTTAGGTTCGGTTTCGTATCAAGCACCTCTTTGAAAATTGCTTTAGCCTGAGAAAACAATGGAAACAAGTGTTTTAACTTGTTGGTTCATTGGGTTTGCATGATCAGGTACGAGGGTAACGTGATACAAATAGTGTTTTTTGTCTTGTTTGTCTTCACAGGAAAGCCCATTCACAGTGTAAGGGTTGATTATATCTTTGCTCTTGCCCCTCCATTTAATTATTTAGCAGTTAGGCAAGATACTGTCACACACACCTTCTTGTGACAGACAGACAGGGCATATTTAATCAGAGGAAGCAGGAACAGAGCACAAAGTACAGGTCAAAGGCTCGGGATTAGATGCTCTCAGGCATCTAAAGGTGGACTGCCTTGAAGAGCCCATTACACTATTGGGTGAGACATCTTATTTTGAACTCGGTTAATCCACATTTTTCTTTTTAATTATTTGGTGGTTCATTATTTTTTTAATGTTGGCCATTAATATTATATGACTGCATTTCCGTTTGTCCCCCATGTGAACAAGCAAAGATGAATACCTGATGCACAGGTATCTTTTCTTGTTAAAATATTTACACTTTGAAGGTTGTGGTGCAACTGGCACGGTTTATCACTCGGCATATGCACCCTGTGACTGGCACCACCTTCATCAGGAGGTTTGGAGTAAAGCATTTGAAGTAACATGTCTTGTTATAGACATGTTATGTTATAGAGTGATACCTGCTGTGTGTTCCAGTGTTTTGTGGACACAGTGGTGATGTTGTTCACAAGCAGCTGAATCCTGGGCAGGACGCTAACAAGGGGCGTCCAAAAGAGGAACGGCTCCACATCCTCCTGCCAACCAATCACATCTGCAAAGGCCTGCTCAGAAAAGCAGTGACATAGTCATCCCTTTTTAGTTAAAAACAACGGACAAAATTCAAATATAGAATCTACCAAAATGCATGAAAATGATGTAGTTATGCGTGTGTCGTACCCATAGTTTGGTAGATAAAGCATTGACTTGGGGCGGGCTGAGCCCCGGGTTGAGTCGGGCGGCGGCGGGCAGAGACGACAGCAGCCTGTCTGATGAGAGTGTCAACAAGGTCTCCGTCTTCATTCCCACCAGGAGGGAGCCGAGCTGCTGCAGCTGGCCCGGAGCGCTCAGCTGGGCGGGGGGGAGAAAGGCGTGAGGCTTAGGGCGCAAAAAGGCACTCTTTATTAAATTGATATTCTGTTTACAAAATAACTCACGGGGGTAATTGAAGATATCTTTTCTACAATTATGGAAGCCTGAAAAACAAACAGAATGAGAGAAAAATAAAGGAATAACTACCGCTAACAAATAAATACTTGCTTCAGCTCTTTTATACCAAAGTAAAAATAAATGGTCATTCATTCTGGCGAGAAAACAGCTGCGAGGCTGAGGTACAAAGCAGCAGCTCCGTGCACAGCGGAGGGTGAAGAACAGCTCAGGCCTCAATAGCCTTCCCACCTCCGAGGGTCAGCGGGCTGAAGATCGCCTGCATGTCAGCTGTTCAAGTAAAAGCCCCACCAGCTGCCAGGGAACCCAACCATTCACAACAAATAAGCGTTTATGCATTGAAGGGGACTGATCTAAACCCCTGACTTTTTTTTTCTTCCACTACACCAGATGTCTAGATTTGGATGACTGCTACATTTTCCACTGTGCATCGCGGGTTGCGAAGGCTTGTCTACCTGTACGGGGCTGAATGAAACGGAGGCGAGGGCAGGTAGGGCAGCGAGCAGCTGAGAGGGTGAGGCGCCCCGTAGGAAAGTCACACCCAGCGAGGGCAGGAGGTGGCCGATCTCTGCCAGCCGCCCGGGACCGAGCAAGGACGGGGTCGTAAATTCTGTGCTGTTCAGCAAAACACTGGAAATCTGCCCGGGGGGTTGAGAAAGGGCACAAAGACAGCATCGATATTGGAAATACTTCTTAAATGCAAGCGCACGTAGAAATAGAGAAAGAAAAAAACAATTAAAGTGAGGAGCTGCATAGTAACTATGTCGTTCCCACCAGATAGCCGGACGGACGGAGTCCCTCTCGAGTGCAGTTCATAACGATGTCCTGGATGACACTGAAGGCCTTAGTATTTTTGTACACGAGGAGGCCCTGTGGGTCCGCCAGGCATGTGAGATTTCCCAGTCTGAAATGACAGAAACTGTTTTAACAACACACACACACACACACACACACACACACACACGCACGCACGCACGCACGCACGCACGCACGCACGCACGCACGCACGCACACGCGCGCCTCGGAGCAGAAAGCTGTAAAAAGGTTTATCATTCGTTATCTTCCTTAGCTGTTATCCATTACAATTCAGTGAATCACAATCCTTAGCCTCAATGCCATTTAAGCTTAAAAAAATAAGTCTAAGTCAAAGAGTTTAAGCAGGTTTAATTTTACACCTACTAATCTCATGTCTAAACAATGTACATGCATAGAAAGTTTAGAGGTGCCTCAAAATGATTCTTTGCCAACCTGGTAAAATCCTGAGCTGTCAAGTTCCTGTAGGTGCCAATGAGGCTGTGAGCTATGAAATCCTGCTTTAGAGAAGTGAGGGTGTTTCTCTGCAACACATCCAGTCCGTCCAACAGCTGTGGAGATGCAGGATGACAGAAATGCAGTAATGGATCTGATGAAAAGAAAATGCTAGAGCGGCTCTGTCTATGGTCTTACGAAATATGTCTCACCTCTAAAGCTCACAAACTAAAAGGTTACATATTGTTCAACTAAAGTACATTGCGGTAGTAAATTAGGCCGACTGACTGACGACTGTAGCTTCTTATTTAAGATTGCGAGTTAAAATGTCAAACTATTACTTTAAAACCTTGCGCGGTTGAGAACTCAAAAGTCAGTTGCCCCTTTATCTCCAGGTCATTCTTAATTAATGTACTCTATTTTTGCACAGAGGTGGGGACATTGACCATTTGCTACCTGTAGCTCTGTGCCCAGAGGCTAATCCAGCCGACTGGGTCCCGGCTTCTTTGGTTTCCCAGAAAGGTGTCAGAACTCAAAGGGCTGTTACCTGAGCAGATGAGAGGTGTTGGAAGTTGTTGAAGGGCAGGTAGGCGATCAGGTTTCCCGTGTCCCTGATGAGTGACTGATTAGCACTGATGATGAGGGAGGGGGGCATAACTCTGCTGTACCACATGCCGAAGGCCCGCCTCCGCTCCAGAGTCATGGCCTGCAGGTGTCTGTTAATGGTCTCCCTCCTAGGGGGAACATTTGAATAAAAAAGGTATGTAAATCTGGTAAAATGTTCAGAAATGATTCTGAAAATAACGGCACTTAAGTTTAAACTGTAAAAATTCCAAGTGTAAAGATTTATTTTGTTGTTGTACTGAGCTGGTCTGTCGTGTCCATCCGTCTTAATGCAGAGCTAATTGCCTTCTGTTAGATATCCACCATACTGCTGTCATACCGGTATCATCTAACAGACAATTCATTCATTTATAAAAAACAAAAAAAGAGAATACAAATAATGCAAATAATTCATATTGAAAAACAACTCAGATGTAGAAATAGAAGTATTATAAGAAGTGACACAATCACATGTTTGTATTATTACCACATCACATACACATTGACGTTGTCCTGCACCGAGGGCAAAGCTTCGATGTCGGCAGGGCTCGCCGCAGCCACCAGCGGCAGCAGCTCGGGGAAGAGACTGGCCTCCTTTACCAGGTGGGTCTGGAACAGCACTGACAGCATGGTGGCCACGTACTTATCGGGCAACTGGCAAACAGAAGCATGTAGGAATCAGTTCACTGCGTACTCTACGGAGACCAAACCCATGCTGCGGCCAGCTAGGAATTCCCGGGAAGGCACAGGAAAAGCGAGCTTGATGTGGTCAGCGTGGCTTTTCCACCTTCAGCGTGTTCTTGTTCCCGCTGTAGTACTGGAGGATCAGTCTGACGGTGGTGATGTGAGCTGCGCCGAGCACAGAGCCCAGGCTGCTCGGCGGTAGACTGAAGTACTCCTGCACGCATGGACGCACAAGGAAATGAGTTCATAAAACAGCATGAAAAACACATAATAAATGTATACTACATAAGGGGTTATTTAGCATTGCTAAAAACTCCTACTAACATGAAGCTGGCTTGGCATTAATCACCTTTATGAACATATCCTCACTGGTCACGTCTCTCGATGTCTGCATCAGGCCAGTTAAGACTCTCTATGGAAGGAAAATACACACACACACACACACACACACACACACACACACACACACACACGGCAACTGGTGAATAGATAAACTATAAAGTCCATGAATTGTTTTACACAGACTCTGACTGAAAATCTCTATTCACACTGTGCTAAAATACAGTGTGCATCATTAGATACTGAACTTGCAGTACAAGTACTAACAGATAATATAACAAGCAGTCGTATAATGTAACAAAGTACGTTTACTCAACTGCTGAATTTTGAGGTACTTTAGTGGTATTATGCATTTTGCAAAATCATCAATGCTTTCTTTTGATAGTAAAAGTACATTTTGACATTTCAGATGCAGTATTGTTAATTGTTGGAATAGTTGCGATACCACTGAGAGCTTGATCCTTTTCCTTTCAAACACCTTTAGCTCATTTCTAATAACTACCTACCCCAAAGCACTGCAGCAACACGCTCTTTTCGTCCGCGTTGTTCTCCGTGTCAAAGTAGCGATCCACAGACGTTAAAACGCTCTGTCGTATGTTCTCGGTGACGTGCAGGGAGGTGTTCTGGACCTCCTCCAGGGCCAACAGGATCACCACAGTAGTGCTGGCTGCCTCCTCCAACACTTTGGCCACAGGAGGAGTCAGCAGAGCACCCACCCTAGAGCTCAGACCCTCCACCCAGCAGCGCACCACCATCTGCAGCGCCATATTCTGACTGGCGCCGGGCCGGCAGGCTGAGGTGAAGTCGGCTGAGCAGTTCCAGTTGAACTGACTCACCAGGCTTTTGGCCAGGCAGAAATTGGGACTAGCAGTGGTGGTGGTGGTGGTGGTGGTGCTATTGTTGGCTGTAGCAGCGTTGTGTTTGGTGTAGGTGGCACACATGTTGCCGACCCACGCGCTCGAGGGCTCCGAGGAGAGCAAATGGAGGAGAACAGTGTTGGGACAGATGGAGGAGACGAAGCTGCTCTGGTCGCGCTCCCAGCAGAGGGTCAGGAGCGCCGCATCTGGCAGGGCGACGCTCCAGCTGGAGTACTGGCACTGATCTGCTGGGTTGAATCCAGTCGGGCCCGCTCCCAGTGCCCCACTTCCACCTGGAAACAGGCCTGGATTTGAATGGTTGTTACAGTATTTTATTAACCAGGTGTTGTCCTGATTGGCCAACAGGTTCTGGAGGACTGTGTCTTTGGCGCAGACTTGCGAGGTGAAGTTAAGCGGGTCGATCTCAGTGCAGAGAGCGAGCTCAGTCATGTCCACGATGATGGGACGCGTCCACTCAGAGTACCTGCACAACTGAAGTACAGGGGATTGGGAAAATAACATCAGAATATCAATTCTGTACTACTGAGCTGTTATCAATTATAATCAAAGCCTAATATCACAAATTTGCTTCGGGGGAGAAACTGTCCAGCGTTCGACAGTCCTTTGCCCAAAGCTTTACATTCTTACATCAGAACCCTCGGAAAAGATTATTTTTGTTGCATGTTAAAAGCCTCTAATTTAGCCAGTGGGTGGACAATTTCACTACACAATGGTACTTAATATAGTATTTGTCATTCCTTTCTCAGCAGCTGATAAAGGCTTGAGATATAGAAGACCCTTATCGTCAGGGTCAGGGGTCAAACTCTCACCTGCGGTAACACCGATGTTTCCTCTATTTCCTTCATGTCGGCGCAGACTGATTTCAGCCACTGGTTCAGAGGGTCCTGTAACAGATTTTCGATCACAGACGCCTTGCAGCAGACATTCTTCCGAAAAGCCAGCTGGTCTTGCTGCCAACAGAGGGCGACCACCGAGTCGTCCACCCGCCGCTGTCCCCACGTCTGGTAGTCGCACCACCCAGTCATGCTGGTGTGCTCCGTCGGCTCGGGGCGTAGAAAGGCCAGAGAGGAGTTGCAGTGACTCTCAAGCCAAGCGTTTTGTGGATTACGCAGCAGACTGTTCAGGAAGGTTTTGTTCGCGCAAACCTCTTTAGTGAAACCACTCTGATCGAGGCCGATGCAGTGTGACAAAACCTCGAAGGTGATTTGCATCAGATCGTGCCACTCTGAGTAACGACAAGACTCCAGTAACGGTGAACCCACGTTGGGGAACGGCGGTGGAGGCGGCCTGTTTGTGCAGTTGGGCATGAACTGCCCGTTTGCAGGGTCGGAGAATAGAAGCATGAACAACGGGATGTGCTCACACATGAGCGCGGTCAACCTGGGACCGTCCAGGCTCATGCAGAAGCCCAGCAAAGAGGGGTCCACCGGCACGGAGGGCTGGTCGACCCACTGCTCGTAGACGCAGAACTGGCTCGCCAGGTAGCCGGGGTCCGCAGAGGCGTTGGCACAGTACCCGTACAGCCAGCGGTTCAGCGGATCCGGCAGCAGCTTTCTCATGAGCGAAGCATCGCCACACACTTGCTTGACAAACTCCTCGCGTTGGTTGTCGCTGCACAGTGAGATGAGAACAGCGTCCACCGGCCCGTCCTCGGCCCAGCTGTTGTAGTTACAGGCCAGCAGCTTGAGGTTGGAGGCTTCTCTGACCCGCCGGTAAGGCGCAGGAGCAGCGGGAGTCGCCGGGGGAGGGGTGGCCTCCCCAACGCCGCAGGCGGACCAACGGCCGAGCAGCGGAGACACCAGCGTTTGAGTGACGTGGCACGCGTTGCTCCACACCCGCTCCATCTGCTCGGCCCCGAGGGAGCCCAGCGCCCGGCAAAAGGTGAGCACAGAGGCGGATGCCCCGGGTCTCGACCCCGCGAGGATGTCGGCGCACAGCGTGTCGTTGAGCGCCGCCAGGTTCCGCCGGTCGCATTTGAGCAGGACGTCGTCTCTGGCCTCCGAGGCGCTGCCCCGTTGGAAGGGCACAGTGGGAGGGCTCGGGCAGTCTGACCCCGGGTAGCAGGCGGCCTGTGCTGGAGGCAAGAGGACATCCAGCAGGATGTCGGTGATGGAATTGGAGAAGGACCAGTTCACATTGTGGTTCATTCCCCTGAGCCAAAAAAGAGATTGAATAATTGTGGCAGATTATTTCAGCAACACAATAGCAGGGATTCATCACCTGTGGACGGAGTGAGAGGTGCTCTGAAAAAGAAAAACTGTTGTTTAAAGTCTTCCTCACTTCCTACCTTAGATCATGATAAAGGATTTGCCTGATAGTTTCACTACTCTTGTCAGTGAATTGTTACACTCACACACACACTTATTTAGATATAATTAGAAACTAATTTTAAAACATAAGCATTTCGGGTGTGATGAAAACAGTGTCGTAGTTGCAAATAAGATAAAAGAATCTGATATGTTCTTGATTGATACTAATTATTCAAATGTTCATGTCGATTTAAGCCATCGAATAGTTTATATATAATATATATATATATATATACATACATAATATAAAATATGAATATTGTGAAGCCACCTATGACTATAAGAACAATCCGGTAGTTGTCAAAAGCTCCCCATGGTGTCTTGACATTTCACAAATAATGACTCACCACATAATGAGCTGCTTGAGATCTCCTGACGAACAAGTGGAACAATAACAATAACATTAGTATGAAAAAGTTAAAAACTAAAAGCACATGCGACACATTGGGGCACACAACTATTTGTTCTAATGAAGGACGACGCTTCACCTTGCTCACAGGTCTGTTGTCCATCTAAAGACGGGGTTCTGATTCCGAGCTGTAGAGCTATTTTGATGTAGTACATCGGCGTTCCGAGCAGCGTCCCCATGAAGTTAGACATGTGCGCCACAGCCGCATCCACCAAACCGCTCAGCAGGGCCCCGGAGAGCGGCAGGCCCGAGAGGACGCCGACAACGGCCCGCGGAAGCCCGCCCGCGGCCCCCGGGGCGCACGTGCCGGAGCCCGTCAGGGCGGACACGAGCGCCAGCAGCGGCCCGCCGTCCAGCTCCAGAGGCGCGGCCTCGGTCATCTCGGCCTGCGGGCCGCAGTCCGGCCTCCCGGAGAGGAGACACACCAGGGTTCTGGGAAGGTCGTCTAGGAATCGTCCCCTCGCCAGGTCAGTGAGCGCCGCGGAGTGCGCGCTGGCGTCCGAGGCGCCGGAGATGCGCGTGTTTCGGTCTCCACGAGACGCGGAGAGGGTTTGATCAATAACTTTCTGGATGTCTTCCTGTAATTTGATGGAATCGTCAGTAGTTTGCTCCGATTTCCTTTGTATTGAAACGGGCTGTGAGGACACGTGTCTGACAGCACACATGATGCCTGTCAGAAAGCAAGAAGAGGGGGAAATGTTGTTTATGAATCTACATTTAAGAATTGCACTTTTTTGAACTAGTTAGATATTTACCATTGCAGAAGTTTAAAAGAACGTTTGAGTCCTGCAACAAGCTCTCACCAAGTGAACACATCTTGACAGTTTGCCTTTGTATTATCAAATAGATTGCGGTCTCAGCTTCATCAAACCATTTATTTTGTACTCACCAACCAAGATGCACACCGTGCGTGCAGCAGGGGACCACATTGTAAGTGTCTTCAAGAAAAACAAGCCACCGCTCCAGATACTAACAACAATAAACTGCCGTCCTTCTGGTTTGCTGATGTGGCAGAGATATTCGGCCCAATCAGAAGAACAGGCATCATATTAGTTCACAAGTTAGCGTTCAACAAGCTGTCGCTCCTCCATCAGACTTCCTGTGTGATGATCTCTCGCTCTCACGGGGCCACTTCTGAGAGGCAGCAGCTCCTCCTGAGGCCCCACACACCTCATGACGGGGGGAGGAGGGAGGGGGGGGCTGTGAACCACGCAAAGGATTCCGGTCACAGGTGGTGAATTATTAACGCAGTGTATCGATTAACTCCTGCGGCTGAAAGCAGAGTCCTGTGCGAGGAGCCGCTCTCTGCAGAATCCATTTCAACTGCACTCCATTAAAGTTCTGTAAACTTCCAAATGGATTTCTAAAAAAGTCACCTAAATAATTACTGAATGAAAACGTTCGCGAGCGTTTAAAGAAAGCCTCTAAATTAAATGGCTCCCACAGGTTATTTTGTACATATAAAATATTGGTTCATTTTAAACAATACAAAAAGGCGCTGAAAGCAAAAAGTTAAGACTTCACAATAAAACTGTTTGGAACCGTTCTATGCTACTCAAGCCAAGAAGTAATATGCACCCATTGGTTTAAGCAAAGATTGCGTGCTTCTCTTTACCACGATGTGACTCTTTTCAACATTCTCTCACGTACCATCTTCAGACAGCCAGGAGAAATAAAAACAAAGGGCATGCAAGAGGTTTAACTTTAAAACTTTGTTTCAGAAATTCAATGCAACTGTATATACACTTTACAATATCATATAGCCTGAAGGCTGAACAAAGATGTCTTAACACGGTTTTAAATACATCTTAAGCACAAATAGCATTTCTCGCAAGTAAAATGGCTTTACGGATATACGGGAGAAAAAAATAAATCATTAAACACATTGCTGTTTTCTGCAAGAAGTGCCATGATTGAAATTTAATTCAGGACTTTCCCACAGAGCAAGCGTTACTCTCTACATGCTAAACTTTAACAGTTGAATGACGTAGCGCTAAACTAAACATAGATATTTGTAAGAAAAAAAACACTCCATCTGATCTGTAAAGTTAAATCGTCATTAATACATTTAGAAAAGTAGATCTGACATGCCATTTAAAATCAAAAATACAAAAAAGATTTCCTTACTTTAAAAGGATTTTTTTTAAACATGAAGCTGCATGTATTGTACAACACTCAAGTGTACAATTAACTGGTAATGCACATAAAAATGAGCTGGATTAAAAGTGTCAAGAGGCTCCCACCGGTCCATGAATTACAGATTATCAGAGGGGATGAAGAGCACACCTGCAAGATGCAGTCAGGATGGCGAGTGGTCATTTGAGGGAGGGGGCACATCACGGTGGGACCTGGAGAGATGGTTCCTCTTCCTTTCACTTTGTTCTTGCCTCTTCAACAACTGATTATTTTTGTTCATTTGTTGTAAAGGGAAAAAAAGAAGAAAAAAAAAAAAAGGTATTTGGAAAGACACGCAAGACTTCACCCAATTTACAATTTTACATTCATAGTCTGGACATGTGTACTATAAAAGAGAATGAACGATCACCAGCCATCTGAGGCTGTGCTCAGGGAGCAGCGGGGACTGTTCCACCTTGTGTGTGTGTGTGTGTCGGGGAGTTGGTGTATCTCCAGGGTTCACCACCCACAGAGCCTCAAGGTCTGATTGTCTCTTTCCATCTAAGCATTTTTTGGGGGGTGAGATCGCAGGGAAAATAAGGGGGAGGCTTTAAGGTGGAGAAGCGTATGGCACTGTACAGGCAACCGAGACAACTTCAAACAAGCACATTTGTTAAAAAAAAAAAAATATATATGAATAAAACAACCTTCCAACTGAACAAGAACAGGAAGCGGTTTAACAACGCATGCCAAATTGTTCCAGTAAGTCAAGTCACCTCTTGAGGGTTTGGCTGGGGACACAAGACAGTCAGGCACGGAGACCTTTGTCCCAGGTTTAAGCTTGGAAGGATGTCAGCCTACGATTTGTCTCACTGTCAAATAAATTAAGCTGAAACAGTAAAATGTCAATTTGTCCACTATCCAGGCAAAAACACATTCATGTAGTTACCATTCTGAAAACACATTGCATTAAAAGGGCACCAAAACCGTAAAAGAAAAAGCTTAGAAATACAAAGTAAAAATGCTGAAACAGGGAAGGTCAGAGACAGAGAAGCTGACCATCCCAACAGTATGTTGCTGGTGCCAGATGTGGCTGGTACAGGGTCTGGCCAGAGAGGTCTACCATGGGTAGACGTCATGACACACTGGCATGTGAGATGTGCTACATTAGTCATAATGCTACTAACATAGCCGTCAAATTACACATTAGAAAAAGCAAAACACAGCTCTGACTTTAGTCTGAATACTTGATTAGGAGTTAAAAGACAATACTGATTATAGACAAATACGATCAAAGAAAGTTCAATGTCGACACATCACTTTGAAAAGGAATGCCCTCAAATCTTTACATTATGTCAGATTTACAGGTAAGGAGAGCATCAGGCCAATCATTTAAATAAGGAGCCATGTTGTGTCCACGGTGATGCCAACACGGGAAATTAAACCTTCATTTGTTAGAGTGACAACAAACTATGCTTTAAGTCCTGGTACAATTAAATTGTGTTTGACTATGCAGTGGACTGTCATTAATATGCACCCATCTTCTCCCAACAGAAAAAGGCTTATAATGATAATAAAAAAAAAGAGAAAGAAAAACTTTTTTTTTTTTAAAACAACATATCTTACAAACAGAAGTAAAACATTTTGAAAAGCTCTTTTCCAAAACAATGAAACACCAGTTTTACCGGAAACAAAAAAGAACTGCAACCAACAACAGAAACTTGACTCGGCTATGGAGGAATGCATATGCTTTTAAAAGGCTACAGATTGTAGGTTTATCAAACACCAAATGAGCGCATGTGTTTGCATTGGTAGGAGTCAACATATACACACACATGCAGAGTCACAGGACCGTCGTTCCTGCTGAAAATGCTCTCTGGCCACAGAGTGTGGTTACTAGTCAGTGTCAGCAGCGGGAGCACCAGGGGCTTCGACTCGGGCGGGAGTGACGAGGGGAAGTTCCTCTTTACCAGGTTGTATTTTCATACCCAATAAACCAGCACCAAGACTTCGGAATTTAGTGTGGAGGGGACATCTGGTTCCACAAAAAAATTCATCCAGATTTTAAAAAACGTTTAGTTTTTTTTAAAACAACTGTGGGTTTAAAAAAAACTAAGACAAAAGCCTGAAATTTTAACAATAATGACAATGTTGTGGTTTGTAATCCAAAGAGGGGCTTTTTACACACATGTTGTTCTCAGTTTTTTCATGGTGTCCATTTCCAGGAGACTGGAAAAAGTTCAATCAGGGGGCAACAAGTCGTGGAGCCTGAAACTCTCCCGAACATGCGGCCGCACGTCCTCGTTCTGAGATCACAGGGAGGGATTAAAGAATGCGTTAGATTCACGGAAACAGTCAAATATCAATCTGATGTAGGGATGATACCCGTTTATTCTATTCAGGTGTTTGCTCTGAATGTGTGTAGTCTGAAGAGCTCAGACCCAATGCAGAGGGAAAAATAATCAAGTGCAGCATAGCTAATGTTCAGCTATATTAATAATCCGGTCTTTGATCACTTTGCTGTGTCAACACCAAGTGAGTTCGGTGTCCATCCCTACTCTGATGTAGCTGATTAATGATACAATGTTTGATTATAATATGTCCAACAGCAGTTATGGAACATTGGGACATCTTACCATCTCAACCAACTTCTCCAGGAAGGGCACCAGCTTCAGCAGCTCATTGTCATTCTTGTCCATGAACCAGCTCTCTATGGGGATCCCATTGGACAACTGTCGGGATACAAAACAGCACAATGAGTAATGTCATTTTGTACTGGTTTTCCAATGTCTTTGGTTGCCTGGCAGCAACCAATCAGACCAGTAAATGTCGGGAACGAATACAACGCTTTATTGCAATGAGGAGATATTGGAGGCCAACGGCTAAGTAAGTAAACTCTGCATGTGTGATCATTTCCATCATTAATTGTATCTAAACAAATCTGCATCAATTTAAGGGTTAGTCTTAACTTTGGCTGGGATAGCCACCCCCCCCACACACACTATATATATTTGCATCAAAGAATTGCCAGAAAAGGGTTATTAGTCGATCATTATAATTTGTCTGGTTGACTATGATTACAATGACCTGTGCTTGGACCAGAAGCCAAAACCCCGAGTGTGATAATGTGTTCACCTGATATGCAAAGGCTTGCGGTGAATTGTCAATGATGATCGTTTTTGACAGGTCTCTACCCAAGATGTTGAGGTCCTTGATGTAGTTTCCCTGGACACAGACACAATGCTCACGAAACAACCTGTGTCTACAGTTACAGTGGGGAATGAAAAGGAGGGAGAGAAGAAAAGAAAAAAAATCAGTGACTACAGCGATCAATAATTCAGAAAAACCACAACACTGACACCTCAGCGGCAGCACGTGCCGACAGTGCTGCATACCAGAGAGCTTTAGAGCTCAGTCAGACGGCAATCAGCTTTTGAGTTAGTTGGGCCGTTATTAAACAGACCAACAGAAAACACATCGTACCTCACTAGCTGCTTTTTAGGATCCAAGATGTTGAGCAGTTTGTCTGCATAGACCTTTTTAGAGGCTGTGAAAAGGATGATCTAGAAAAGGGAGAACATTTAAAAAGGTCTTTATTTCAAAGCAGATTCATTGATACAATTTATTTGCAAGAGTAGGCAGGTTGTATTTACCTCATAGATTTGAGACATGCGTTCCAGAAACTCTCTGAAGAACGGCCTCAAGCGCACATACACCTGCAGGACAACAAACCATCATGGTCAACACAATGTTTACTAAAGTTGTTCATTTGAGTTTTTTCTACTGAATTGAGCAGTTCCCCGTTGCATGACAAGCACGTCCATCATTGCCAACAGGCCTTAAAACAGGGCTTTTTACGAATACTTTTCCCCCCTCTAGTGGCTTCGTAAAATAAAGCGGTGACAGAGCGCTTACCTGGTAAATGACATCCTGGAAGAGGACAGGAAAGGTAAGTGCTGCGTCCTCTAGCTCGTTTAAACTGCAGTGGACCAATGTTTCATCCTAATGGACACAAAAGAGAAAATACTAAAAACTCTTTGAACAGAGCTTAAAAAAGGAAAAATGTTTTTTTACATGAATAAATCATTCGTTATGTATCCCTTACTGACCAGGTCAAGGACCAGAGAGAACTCGGGCGTGCTGCGCGTTTTCAGTGGCAAAGCCGGTTTACGAGTGAGCTGCTCTTCTGTCAGTGGAGGGACGTGCTTGATGAAGAAATATCTACAAATCAAAAAGTCACACATACGTTAGTCAATCACGATATCAATTGAAACAATCTTTAAACCAAAGTGACTTCATCAGGTCAAACTGTTGACTGCTGCTGGTTTTATGCATCGTTGCAGGTTAGCAGCTCAGGTCGGTGGATTTGATAGAAGTTGCTTTAACTGAAATCTTCTGCACACAACGCTTCCATTTGCAGAGCGGAACTTTCATCACAACCACAGCTTATCCATAATGATCCCAATGGCCCTTTTAAAATATCAGCGGTCTGTTCAATGTTTCCGGCTATAGGAGAATGCATTTAAGGACTGCAGTGTTTTACTCACGGGTCAAAGACTTCCCAGTCTTCCTCATAGGTTGCCTCTGTTGGTGCGGCAGCAGGCAGAGAGTCCACATAAGCCATTTCTGGACTGGAACCTGGAGCTTGGACAAAAATAAAAAATATTATACAATTACAATAATATAAAACATTATAACCTCAACATGAATCAAAACTTTTGCTACTCAGATATGTACCTGTGAGGGGTGGAAGGTCAGCATCGGCATAGTGCTCTCCCTCCCTGCCTGTGGGGGAAACCTCGGGGATCGGAGGCTGCATAGGGGGGAGCTGCGATGCGCTCGAGTAGAAGTTGGTGGTCGCACACAGCTCCTGTGTGGATGCGTCTGTGCTGGTGGGCGTCTCCACAGCTGGCTCCATGTCCAGCTGCTTCACTACCTCCTCTGCCTCCAAGGCCTCGTCTGGAGAGTCTGAGCCAGTAGAGGCTGAATAACAAATGCAGAGAGTCGGTTTAAATGTGTACCATCTCGACATAACTGACACAAAATACTAAGCATTTGTACTCTTTTTATTTCTACAGTGCTTAAATTAAAAAAACAGCACTAAAGACACTATACACGGTATATACAATAACAACTAAATCAATGACATCATGAGAAAAAAGAAAAGGAAACATACATTACTGACTTTACAAGTCAATAGAACTACACTCTTTTACAGTGAAGGATACTGGTGTTAGCCGTAGCCGCTGCATGAGTGCAGCGTGGCAAAGATTAGCTAGCGACGGACCCGTATGTCGGTATCAGTGTCGCTTGGTCCCAGTGTGTACTGGTACCAGGATGTGGTGCTGGCATCGTAATTTGTGAAACAATACCCAGCCTTAAAAAAGTCAACAGTGTGTTAAAAACAGGTTTCGAGTATATCCTATCGGTTTGAGCATGATGCTTGCTACGAGTCAAACGAGCGACCTCGGGGTTTCATACCATTTTTCGCTGGCGAGAAAAAGTTGAAAACGGGGGAAAAGATGGTCCCAAGAAGCGTGGTTCTTTGAGGGCTTGTGGGCACCTCAGCGGCAGTCGTCTCCTCCACACTGCCATTGGGCTTCTCCTTACTTCTGTCATGATTAGTTGCCTCTGAAGGGGAAAAGTGACGAGACGATTAAGAGGAGTTGAAGTAGACATGTGGTTAGTAAAGCACAGTCATTATATATATGGGTTTGTTTGAATGCCACTCACGTCCATTTAGGGAGCCTCTGCGGCTGACCCTGCTGATAGTCCTGCGGGGGGTGTTGGTGTTCGGGGTTGTTGAGGTGATGAGGTTATTGTCCACATCGCAGTGGAGGCGCGTCTTTGCTGGGCTCTCCTGCGGCACCTAAAGGGGAAAACAAATAATGCAGTGAATAGCCGCAAATGGAAATTTTTCTTAGTCATGTCCGTCGCCGAGGAAAGTAGTGACGCTATTTCCCCCCAAAAAAACAGTGTGCCTTCTTCTATGACCTTTGCCTACAACACAACAAATAATCAGCATTAAATGATCCCGACCATATTTGCAGATTCGTGTACATGTGGAATTTTCCATCAAATGCCCCCCAAAATAAAGAATGATAAAGCCAGTAAAGAAAACATGCATGGTGCTTTATATTGTTTACGTATTTTACCCTGCCCATCTTGCTTAGCGCGATGTACAATAAACCTTTCTGATCCCAGCTGATATAATCAAAAAGTAAACGAGTTTGAATTCTGTCAATTAAAGAAATTTACATAAAGTCAGCCAGTAAAACAAACTGAGGGAATATTCTTCAATAAGGACCTAATGAAACAATGGTCCATGGGGGACCATGAAATGTCAATAAAATAATTACGCCCGACTCTTTCCAAAGGAAATAAAGACGTTTCAGCGGGCCTGACTTGTCCGTTTGTTTCTGCACACCCACTGTGAGCCAGAAGCTAAAATTAGAACAGCATCTCAGACAAGCTGCTGCATTCCTCCAGACATTTCTTAGGAAACATGACACTCTACACCAAGAAACAGCATTTGACTCAGTCACCATGAAAGCGCAACGCTTATTAAAATGGTTTCAAATTGGAAAAATATCAATATATGGGAAAAGACTAAATGGTTTCAGAAAATGGTCCAAGGAGCACCACACCCACGTTTACTTCACATAAAAAGAAGAATAAATCCAAATCAATGAGGTAGTTACCGTAACAGCATTTCCTCTGATGAACTTCTTGATGGTGGAGAACAAGCCCCTCCCTCCACTAGGTGGCGAGTCTTCTTCTACTTCTGAATGCCTCCGCTTGGTACGGGACGGGCGGCTTGCCAGACTGGGGTTCGGCTGCTGAGACGCCTTGCGCATTCTCAGCCTCATTGTTTTAGCAGTCACATGTAAAATTGTTGATTAAAAAAAATCCTGCGGAAACAGAAAGAGAGGGGAAATTAATACCACTGTACAGTTGTGGAAACAAGTTTAAGCAAAAACAGAAGAGTAAAGATGGAGAAACGTGTTTTCCTTGAACAGTCAACTGGTAACAATAAGCCTGTGGGCTGTACATAAGTGTAGTGGGGTACGCGTGCATTTTTCTGCAACATCTGGATGCGTTCAAGATCCCATTTTGCTTCCCTCACGGCAGCCACAGCTGGCTTTACTTCTATTTGTACAGTAATATATATATATATATATATATATATATATAGCATGAGATTTTACTATAAACATTAGCTACAAGAAAGTCAAGACAGAATTTAAATTTTTTAATCTGAGCTAAAAGCAGATTTCTGAAGGGGAGGGATTTTACTGCTCACATTATGCACAAGGACAAACTATTCACAGCGAGGATGAATTTTCTGTTAGGCTACAGCCAATATTCGTTTTGCTACGTTTACACCGGACCGACACCCGCGGTTGCTACTTGATTGGTTTTTGGCCGTCGTGACACGTCCTTCCCCGATTTGTCACACTTCCATTGTTGACCGCTTCCAGAAGGAAAACAAACGCACACGCCCAGTGTACGTTACTGGTTATGTGATGTAGGTTGCCGTGGACGCAGATCATCTCGAGTTGTCCACACTGGTTGGAAATGTGTCAACAAATCCACAACCTGTCAGGAACCCCGAGCCCACAATAGCACCATCTAGACATTCTATAAATGTCCCTCCCTGCATCAGTTTTACATTTACTCCATCCTTGAATACACCAGATGTGCTTGATCATGTGAACAAAACACCAACAGGCACCGTAACAGCTTTACATTACATGTTAACATTAAAGTAAAGGCAAGTGGGGAAAACGACAAGCCAAAATTTTTATTAAATTACATTGTACAACAATTTTCCCTAACAATGGCTACACTAAAACCGTAATTTTAAGACGTTATAATTCAATTTAATCCAGTTATTATGAATGATTGAAATGGGTTTAAACTTAACCCTTTAAAGAATCAAAAGAAGATAGCTGGGATGTAGATGTAGCACTGAAACAGCTCTTAACACATTTATTAATTGTGATTTCTGGAAAGATCTTATTACAGTTGAGTGCTGTACAACTCGCAGTACTATTCTAGAGTACCACGTTACTTTGGACTTTCATGTCCAATTTATACACAGAGTACTAGAATGATTCACGTGTTTTCTTGTGTCAATACACATCTAAAACGTAAAAAAAACACATTGCGCATTATTATTGTACATTAAGTTAAATGATGAAATGTTCAACCCGTGATGTCGGCATGTTTGGGCGATAGCCGTTTCAAATCTTGCAAAGGTTTGCATGGCAACAACGCTGCGGCTGCTAATCATGCACGTCTCCGGGAGCTCAACCACTAACCAGGGATCACGCATAGCTAGGTAGGAGCAAGTGAGCGGGAAATAAGAACGTCCATGCCGATGAGCCTGTATGGGCGAGCTAGCCACGGAAGCTCAGAGGAGAAACGAGCAGGGCCTGTTCGGCAGCCTGCCCCCCTAGTAAATATTACTCCGAATCTACGGTCGGCTAAATTGTTATGAAGTGTCTGAAGCTTATATACGAACCAAACCAAATAAATACGGATGACAAACTCTGTCTGCTTTCCGCAGGCATCCTCACACCAACGGGGTTTTAAAAAAGCACTTCGCAATCACGACCAGCTTCGCAGCTAATAGAGTGGCTAAGTTAGCTCGATTCGGCTAACATTAACGGAACATATTTAACGTTGACTTAAGAGGACGTCGGGTTAAATGTTTCGAGAGTTAGACAGGCGTGGAAAACATATCTGTACAAGTAAAGTTTTTTAACGTTGTCAGACTTACTTGTGGTCCCCAGTGTTTGCCAACACGAACGTTAAATAGCTACATGCTACACGGCAACGTTAGCATTCCAACATGGCAAGCCCAAATAGGCGTTAGCAATGCCAGAGCGGCATCTTAAACCAAACGAACTTAACGTAACAATAAGTAGCGTGAAACGATTAACTAGTGCACTGGACATTAGGCGGATAACTTACGTGGGGTTGGTTGGGCGGATTGTCTGGAGGGTCTCCTCGAATTCCGCGCAAGGTTAACGTTATTTGCTAGTGAAACTCGTCAGACATCATTAATCAAAACAGCTCAGGCTAACGTTAGGCTAGCCACCGTGGAAGCCTTATCGAAGTTATCCGTTAATTACATCAACGTTATCTTTGGCAAGTTGATTCAGTTGACTTAAAATCATAACGAAACAACTTTACACGGGCGTGTAGCCCAAACTCCCCAGAAGTACACTAAAAAGATAACATGTTAGCTATAATTTGTCCAAGTAAAGCGGCCGTTAGCAAAGTTCAGTTATGGAATGTCAATTTGAACAACGTTAGCATCAGTGGAAGCTAACTAGCCCTGGCGGTTGTTAACATTAACGTGAATAGATGGGTTCATAGCTCAAAGATGTACACTTAATATGAAATCTTCCTACAGATATTGATCGAATGTCGTAGATAGAATTCGAGTCACAATGCACCACGCAGCCAAATTGCCCGAGAGTTAACCAGGTCCCTCGGAGGCCGCAGTTTAGCTTCCCATCGCTATGTAACGTTAGCTACGTTACTTTAGCCTAGCAGCGTTAGCATAGCGTTGACCGTACACGTCGTTCAAGAAATACTGCTTCGGGCAAACAGATGCACACAGGCAGAAGGAAAACATCTACCCTGTCCGTACGTAATACCACAGAAACCACGCTACCCACGAGACTCACGAACAAACACGACTAGTTAACGTAACAGACTTACTTTACGGCGATCCGCGGCGTCCAGCGATAACGACTCAATACTGATTAATCATATCATCTGGCTGCCAGTGCTTGTTTTCGTGTTCCGATCGGACTTTTTCCTCTAAGGCTACTCAAGGGCCGTCTCTGAAACGACTCATCGTTGTGTTGCCGGGCGCCATTTCCCGCCTCTGCTCAGTCTCTTCAAGCCAGATACCCGTATGGGACACAGACACACCCCCCTACCTCCGAAAAACACCCGTCGCTCTGCAGCGGAGAGAGACACCTTCCACCTTGCACTCTTCCTCCCGCGGCTTCCAGTGACACGGAGGACTGCCCGTCTTTATGGTGGTAAATGATGAAGAAAAAGTCAATCGATCGGGGATTCGTGCACAACATTCGCAACGTGTCTTAAAATCACTGGAAGGAGCAACACAGGACAGTGTAAGGATACAAAAAAAGACTTTCAGATGCCAAACACCCGGTTAACTTCCCTAATAGATAAAACAGTCATCCGCCATTAGAAGCTTTATCCCTTGCGTGTCAACCAAAGTAACTCTGGAGCACGATCACAAATTAACAAATCACATGAAGCATCAACTTTAATAAAATAAAATTACATTCAATGTGCCTTTCCACGAGAAACCAATTTTCCTTGCTGCACAAACAACTGATTCCATGTTCACACACAGATTTCCCTAAAAAGGAGGGAAATGGGTTTCCTTGGTATAAATGGCAACAGATGAGCTACATTATTTAAGGACAGACCTCATAACTGGAAGCATGTGTACAGTACGTCAGTTCTACATGTGCTTGGTTAATCATTGCACAATGGAGGATGCTAACATTGCTCTAAGTATTGCTTAAGCATCAGTATTTTACTCAGTTGATTACTAAAAAGTTTTAATTGCATGCAATGGCATCATAGAAAAAAACTGAACAATGAGCACTGCTGTGTGTTCATCACAGAGAAATTAAGTTGATTTAATATGCCAGAAGCTAAGTCCTTTGCATTTAAAATGCATTCCCACTGATGCGAACGGAAAAAAAAATTGTATTCCACGTTAAAAATCCCAAAAGTATGTTAGAAAGGCAGAATGCTAGATTAGTCGGGTTTGATAAACAGCTCCCGAGAAGAGTTTGTTTGTATCAAGCAACGGTAACCTGTGAAGAAAAATAGCACAAAAAAATAATAATAATGAAAATACAGTTCCACGTTGAAGTCCAGTTGCGAGTGAACAGGTCTCTTCATATCCCGGTTATTTCTGTGTCAATATCCCTCCGCCGTCATACAATAACCAAACGCAACAGTCAACGTACATCACAGCATAGCTCGTACTGTGACCATTCAATCAACTGCAGCTCACGACGCCATTACGTTTTCCTCTTTGTATTATGATGTTATTCTGAATTAATTAGTTGCAATGTCTGATCAAAGTACTGACACTGAGGATGAGCCCATTAAGTTCTTAAACATATTGATGTTCAAACTATTTCTTCGGAAAAGATCTTGTTGTTTGTAGAGGAAGGTCTCAGTATCTTTAGTTATGGCTGTACAAGTTTCCACTCAAAGAATGTCAATGGGTTGATGTCTTTTCCCATAATCCACAGCTCGGTCTCCCTGCATGTCTCGATCCTCATCATCTGAAAAAAAAAAAAAAAAAAGGAAGACATTTAATACTCTAGTTAATGAAGTTCTGCACTATATGTTCCCATATTAAGACACACATTTTAAAATAAAAACATGTCCTCCCTATCAGTCCAGTCACAGGCGGTGACAGTACATCCACGAACACTACAGTCAACAATACCCGGATTCATGTTTTGTTTATTTTTCAGATACGCTTCAGCTTCCTGGATGAAATGAAACCTTGACCTCAGATTTCATTGCTGAGCGGCGTTTGAGGACGTTAGGTCCATCTTAAGCAAACAATGTAGAACTCACAGCCCTTTTTGTACACTTGTCTCAACTTGAAACAATATATTTATCGAAAGATGTGTATCTGGAGGATACACAGCATTTTTGGAAGTAATACTTTCTAAATGTATCCAGCCCCGTATAAGCTTCCTTGTTGGACCTGAAAATAAAAACATCCTGAATTTCTATTGAAATCCAACTATATACAAACTAAGTGAACACAGTTGTAACGAATACAAATAAATCTCAGACATAACAAAAAAAAAATGGTATTCTCTAAATGTGGTACGAAAATTGAAATTCTTCTCCAACGGGCAATCAGAACAACCTTTGATGAAACAATAGAAACACGGTCATGCATTTCAATACATTACATACAGTACACAAACACATTAACAAACGCAGTGAGCTGTATTGATCTACTGGTCTAGATGTGGGTCAGATGTTTGGTGGGCACAGACTGGTGGCACAGCTAAATGGAAGCACAGGCAGGAGACAAAACACTAGATGGACACGTACTCTCACAGAACCGCAAGTTTTTCCCCCCATACGTGGGGAAATAGGGTGCTAACATTATTACTGTTAATATACGGTACATTCAGCTACTGAAGCAGTAAGATGTTTTGGTCGTAGTTCATTGTCATCTCTGGTTTATGATGGATTCAAGGACCAAACTCGGGGTGCTGTGAGCTTCTCTAACTGTCGAGACAAATGCGGGGTGGTGGGGAGGAGGAGGGGGGAGGGGGGCGCGGCAGCAGGGCATGGTTGGAAGGAGGGAGGGAGCAAGGGAGGAATGGTGGATAAACATCTGGACAGGCGGTCCAGTCCCCCGGCCTGGCTCACCTTGAACGTCTTCCTCCCCACCATCACCATCCTCTTCCTCATTGTAGGCCAGCTCGGCCTGCTTGTCGGCCTCATACTCACCCACGTTCCCATCGTCCCCATTGTAGTCCGCTAGCTTAGAGCCGTGTTGCGGATCTACTGGGGACTCGTTCTCATCAAAGAACCGGCCTGCAGGAGGCAGAGAAGGGCCTCATCAGGAAGGGAGGGAAGCGGAGGCAGTTGTAGGAAGAGAGGGAGGAGTGGGTGAAACACCGCATAGCGAATGCATGAAGGAAGTGACCGTATGAAGAGAATGACAGAAGGCGATGAGGCGATGGAATACAAAGCCGCGTGTTTCGGAAGAGTGAAGGACAGAGGAAACAAATGGGGTTCCTTCTTCTCTAATGTGTCTGGCGCACAGAGGGCTAATCCTGTTCCATCATCATTACAATCCAATTGATTTATTTAAAATAATACATTTGCTGTGATCTACCTTATTTAAGTTTTTGTTGGTGATGTATCCGTGAGTGTTGGTTCAACTCAAGGGTTATTTTTAAGCCACAGATACTGTAGTGTTTTATTAAACTGCATTTTTTTTAAAGTAGAAATTGTTCCACCTCCATTAATGTGTGTATGGACGGCAATGTTCAATGTTTGCCATTGATGTATAATGATTACCAAATCTCAATCCCTGTTTATGTTCCCATCTGATTTCTGACTGTTGTCGCTCAGGTAAGGTTCGGAGGATTTCTGAGCAAAGCAGCGTCTTTGAGTTGTCTACGGAGCACCCAACGCCAGAAACCACACATCTGCAGGGTGTTGTGTGTTAATTTGCCACAATAGGATGTTAGTATAATGAAATTGGAGGCAGAAGACAGAAAAGAAAATGAAACTGTGTACTGAATGAAGGCAGTGTTTTCAGGAGCAGAGCTGCAGGCGAAGGTGAAGTGAATGTGTAAGCGAGACGGAAATATGAAAGCAGAAAGGAGGGAGAAAAGGCAGCAGGATCGGATCGTCTGGGAGCCAGGTTTGTGTCATTGGTCTCTTCTCCTCTGCAACGGAGCCCTCTCTCTCTCCTCCATGACCGGGCTCCTAGCCATGTTCAGACATGACTTACATTCACCGACACTCATGAACACGTGTTACGTAGGAGTGGGGGTGTAACCAGTTACACCAAAATTGCATTTCAGTCTCTGCATTGACTCGTATGACAGAGAGGCAGCAGCTAAGCCCGAAGGCAGAGCTAACAAGAATGTGCTGTGATTGAACCTTTTCATATGCAATTATATTTTTCCCACCTCTTCAAAAGCAATACAAACATTTACAAAAACAACCAGCCAACCACAACCCGCTTTGCAAACTACAGTCTTCCCTCTTTTCGAGGTGTTGAGGAGGAACTCACTTTGGCGGTGGTGAACTGGCTGTGCTGGAACCGGGTCTTCTGCGTGGTGAGGCTGGATGGGGTTGGGCACCTGGGCCGGGTTGGGGGGCAGAGGAATCATCTTCAAGTGTTCACGGTCACCCTTGACGTTATCAGGAGCTGACAATAAGAAAGAGGTTAGGACCAATGAATGCATCTTCATAAAAGCACAGTGTGCTAAACTTACTATACAGAGATAACAGTTCTCTGCTCCTGCCTTCACTGAACATGAAGTGAAATTACCACATGCCTAAATGTTCAAAGGGTCCCTAAAAGGAGATTAAAGTTAAAACCAATAAGAAGAACGTGGTGCTCTCTGTACCTTGAAGTTGTCTTTGCTGCTCTCCCAGCTCGTCAGCCTTGATACCTGCCTTGTTGTCTTCTTCGAACACTATGGGTTTGTCGGCCTGTTTGATGATGCCCGGAAGTTCAACCACTGCTGCTCGGTCCTCCACCCTGTCCTGCTGGAGCCTGGGCTGGTCCAGGGACAGGCCTTGGCCCCCAGGGCCATCTGCTGCCCCGACGACAGGGCCAGCACCACCTCCGACAACCACATCAGGGGCTTCGTCGTGCTTCTGAGTTATGGCGGGTTTCTTCAGGGCTGTGGAGAAGTGAAGTGGCACTGAATTTTTGTGTTTTACAGAAAGGTGGAAAACATTAGTAGAGGACCTCGTGTTGGATTCAAGCCATGGCTTTTAGCAAGTGTGTTGGTCCAGGCTGAGTTTATTACTCTCACTTTTGGTCAAAACCACTTAAAACCTAATCAATCTCCACATTGGTACCGGGAACATCTTTATAGTTTTACTTGACCTCGGCTCTACTGACACCGCTTTAAAACTATCACGGTACATTCTTTCTCCCTCTACACACTTTTCACCCCTCATTCACTGGCTTGAAAGCCTTACTGTTAAGAGTTTGGACCACTGCTTACTAGGGCTGTCAACGAATAGAACAACTATTCAAATGAGAAAATTAATATTTGAACGTAAAAAACGGCAGCGTGACTGTCTGCTTTGCGGGTGGGTGCGCACCTGACTACTGACTATGTATTGCATGAATAAAATAGACTAGCACTGGTTTGATTATTTGCGGTTTCATGCTAAGAAAAAGTTCCATGTTTACCAGCACAGCTTGCTCTGAGCATTCAATGTCGATACTGTAAACTGTTAATGTGAATGATATTTGTCTCAATCACTGAATGAAGCCTTCCATATTTGGTACAAGAATCGCAACCTTAAATTGCTTGCACAAAACTCTTGATCAGCACTTAGCATTTGTTTTATTGTTGTCGTTCATTTAAACCGCTTTGCACAGAGAGCGCGGCAGTGCGGGAGGGAGAGGTCTGCGGTCTTGGCCATAAGTTAACTTATTTTTTGTGTAGGTAATATGTTGTTAAATAGGTTCAAACTTAAACAAATGACCTATACAAGTAATTATGTCTCTTTGTATTCATTTCTGTTATTGACGTGCCTAATGCGCAACCAGCTATTTGAATATATGTTTTTTTTAAAGCGAATGTTTTTGACAGCTGCTTACCAAACTGAACGTCGTCAATTTTCCCCACCTCACTGTCTTCAATACCCGGCATGCCAGCATCACTGCCAGGCTTACCCATCTCGTCTGTAACAGAGCAGAATGAATGGCTTCAGTAGTGGATAGGTTGACTTTAAAATAGATTTACACGTTCCCCTCTTCAGTTACATAGGCAGGAAACTAACAGCGTTATTATAATATAATTGTAAATGATTCTAACGATCACAAGTCCAAAGCAATAAAGGATTTGGTCGATGCGTTGACTTCCACTGTACCTTTTAAATCCAGACTGTCATGCTGGCCTGCGGCCACTGTATGGCGCTCTCCAACCAAGTCCACCCTGCCGACTCCATCTGCAGGTCTACCTGCCGCTGCATCCTTTTGGCCATCCACCGCAGTCTGAAGAATAACGAGATGAATCAGACCACAACTTTTGACCAATTACCAAAGAGTTACCGTGACAATGATCACGGTCTCATTTGGAGGTTTTAGCAACACTAACTTGTCTCAGCTTTGACGCTTCTTCCTCCCAGGTCTTTTTCGTTTCTTCATACTCTTCTTTCAGTTGTGCAATTTGACGGCCACATTGTAAACTGAGAAAATTACCACAAAGTAGTAGTAGTTTCAGCATATTACAAAACTGATTTGTGTTGAATTAACAGAAATCAAATAAGCCCTATCAATTAACAAATACAATATTAAGAAAACCATCTAAAATCATACAATTATTGTGAATATACATTAAATCTCTTCGGCACACAAGAAGTTGTGAAGATTGAACTTACCTCTCATACTCCAATTTTCTTTCAAAGGTAGTGCTGTTTTTCTTCGCTTCTCTTAGTTGCTCCTCCTGTTTAATAAACTCCTGCTTCAGCTCCGTTAGCTGCTCTGTTACACATAACGCAATATTTTAGTGTTTAAGTTTATCTTTCCATGGAGGGGTTTTGTGTTGGCGAGTGCCCTCTGCTGGGCAGACAGGGATAAAATCCTACCTTTCAGTCTCTGGATTTCTGTCAGTTGGGATGTGACGTCACCTTGTACCTTCCTCTGTACAGAGCAGAGAAACAAAGGTTTAAGAATCTCATTGTCTGATAGATGATTAGATTTACTTCTTTCACACCCTTACTAACAGGTGGCCTGTGAAGCCATAAATAACTCAACTGTGCAACAGGTTCTCTAACTAGAAGACAGTTGCACAATCACAGCAAGGGGAAACAAGACCAACAGGTTATGAGTAATGAGTAATGAGAAAAACAGAAAGCACGCACTGTGACATTAAGCAATTAACTTTGAAACGGCATTGCGTCCATCTGACTATCTAAGTCAGTATGTGACACAGCAGACGCTTTGTAAATCTTACGCAGAGCAAGCATGTTTTAGGGTGCACACGGGTATCGTAGTATGTCACATCAACAGCCTTTGTAAATCCCAGCACAGACGTTGATAGCTCACACATACAGTGCCTATAAAAAGTACCCCCCCCCCCCTTCTAAAGGTTCCCTTTCGTTGCCATTATATATAATATCTTCATTATTTTTGTTTGGCTTTTTAAAAAACAAAAATCGTGACTAATGTTAAGTGTGCAGAAATTTCCCCCCTGTGAAAGTGACTGACCTTATTTAACAGATGTCCAACTAGTTGATTGAGTCGGGAAATGGCAAAAAAGATTTCCAACTCACTGGAAATCCCACAGCATTGTAAAATCCATTGATAAGAAATGGAAGGAATATGGAACGTGTTTAAATCTGCCCCAAACGGAGTGACCGAGCAAGGAGAAGACTGGTAGCGGTGGCCAGACACCTCGACAACAACTGAAGGGGGTGAATATTTATGCAATCGTTTATTTTTTTACTTCAAATATATTTAATGAATTTAGATTATCTTCAAATATATATCTTCTTCAAATCAAATTAAATTGACCATGACTTCATGTAAAAAAAATCAATACAAAATTTGTATATATTTGTTGCAACTGTTTTTTGATCTTTTCTAAGTATCTTCATGGTCGTTCTCTAATGGCATTTAACTTACATTGAACAAGCAGGGGAACAGAAGCCTCTGCACAGTGTAAAGTCATCCAATAGAACAGCGCTGTGATAAACAGTTACTAGCGTGACTGAAGGGAGGAAGCTGGGGGGGGCTGAAATGAGGGCAACTTGGACTTTGGACTTTTAGGCAACACACAAAACCTAGTTGTTAGTTGTGCCTGCCAGATGAATACAGGCCAAATTATAGGCAGCGAGGGTTGAAATAGAAAGTGCATTTAAATCATAGTATGCCAAAACAATGACTGTGGGAAAAATAATGAACAGTGGTGCTGCAGGAGGTTGGTTTGTCACCGGGGTGCGTTGTGATCGTCCAGGTTTGTGACCGAGTTTTAACTGACAGACAGAAGACACGGAGGAAAGAGGGGACAGGACACACAGCAATGTTGAAAAAACCCTCATCCTGTTATTGCCTCACATTGAAGTCAACGGCTTTCCTATGCAGCCATTGTTCTGTACAGATAACACAACTAGTTGACTGTACGAAGAACCACACTGCTCTCCCATAACGTGTACACAACTGTGTTTAAAGCCCTGCGTGGAAGCCATTCAGGGAACGACTGTCCCTATTCTCTCCCCACTGTACAGCAGCGGGCGTCTGTTGGGTTGGGCTGTGGACAAAAGAAAGGAGTGGAACGTTTGCCCTTTTAGCAGCATCCCTGGTAAACAGAGAGCAGGATACTGAAGCTGCTATAAAGACAGAGAGATTAGACTTCCCTTTTAGCCAGAGTAAAAAGGAGAAGAAAAAAAACAAAAAACAGAACCTTCTGGCTACATTTCTTGAAATCGATTTCACAACCGATGCAAAGCTGTCATTTACGCCGCTGGTCTGAGTGATCAATGCACATTAGGAATAAAGACGGTTTAACAAGTCAGTTTGCATATGACCAAGCAGAGTACGTACAGAAGGCGAGCTGCTACAGGTCTACCGATTGACTCTTTGGTTTCACCACAGGGTCTTCATTTTTAAAGAAGACCGTCTGGTTTGAATTTCACACCTTGTTTGCTGAGCACGTAGAGAAAACACCCATATGAATGCATATCTGGCCCATTATAAGCAGGATTATCTCCTTGGTCCCACAGTAAGACTGACACACATCCGATAATTTAAACAAATGTATTCATGTCCATGAGAAATAAGCACGTCAGACTGAATGCAAATCGAAAGGAAGACCTCCCTCTCCATCTGGTGTCTAATTGTCTCGTAGGGGCAGCTGGACAAGACACTGATGTTCAGACGGTGCTGGGACACAAAACACAGTGAATTGCTGGATGGGCTACTGCGCAGTACAAGAGGTGGGAAGAAATGAAGCATGTAATGAAGCATTGGTGGAGCCAAACTCAGGTTCTGACGAACTGATGAGTTTACCAACCGGGGACAGGTTGATGTTTCATCTGGCACTTGTTACCAGGCGACTACTCCATCAACTTCTACACCGAAGTGATCCCAACCCCCCTCAATCACGGGTTACCCAAATGTTTATGTACACGCTGCATCTGACCGGAGAGGAGATCGTATGGATGTGATGGAAAAATGAGCATCTCCTGGTTGCATTACGGTAAGTAGTGGTCATCTAAAGTTACCCGACTAGTTTAGTGAAATGAACAACGCACCTGCTTGTTTAACATATCTCCACTAGCATTTGCTCCCAGAGAACACACCACTCTCCCCTTGATCAAATAGTGTAACAGGGAATAATCAGCACCTTTGACGAGTAAAACAGAGCAAATTGTGACGGAAACTCGCTGTGATACTTTGCTATTGACACCTGGCTTTACCTGAGGGTGGATAAGTCCAAAAGGGCTTTGGCGGAAGGTTTGTCACTTGTTTCTGTGCGTGTGGCATAACGTGTACCCAAATGATCACCCCCCACCCCCCTCCTCTTAGCTTCCAATGAAAATAAGTGAAATGAAACCGGCGTCTGGATCAGACGCCAGGCTACTCTTACCTTTTCCTCGGCGCACTTCTTGATGACAGCTTCCCGGGCCTGCAGCTTGCCCTCCAGCACGCTGTTGTCTCCGTCCTTCTGGTCGATCTGCTTCCTGTGCGTGTCCACCTGCACCATCAGCTCCGAGTTCCGCTTCTCCAGCCGGCTGCGCGCCGCGTCCGTGCGCTTCACCTGCGTCTGCACCTCCGCCAGCTCGTCCAGCAGGCGGCCGTGCTTGTTGTTCACCGTCCAGTAGTTAAAAGACAGTATGGCGACGACCAACATCAAAAAGATGAGGATAAAGGACGGGAGGCGGCCTCCCCGTCGGTTTGCACCAAACCCGACCATTTCAGCCACGGTGGTAGAGAAAGAAAAGAAAAAGAAAACAAGAAAAGCGCGCCGTTGCTTCAGGTTGTCGCGTCCACCTACAGAGCTCGTGGAGAGACGCCTCGCGCTGTGGAACACGTCCGTCTACGTGACATGCCGTTCATATGCGGCGAAGGGGGGGGAGAATAAAAGCGAGTACACAGGCGGACGGTGGCGAACGGTCATGACTTTTCACATTGCCGTCGGTCACTCGTCGGGTCACTCCTTCCGCACGCGAAGCATCTTCTCTGCGGATTTGGCACGTCGAGATGAAGACGAGAGCCGCCGCGCGCGCGCGCGCGCGGGGACGTGGCCTAACGTTAGCGCGGCTACGCGACGTAAACGCGAGCGGGGGCGAGACGTGGACAGCTCGCGGCGGCACGCGAGATGAGTGAAACGGGAGGCGCGCAGCGAACGTCGGGGCTCCCGGGCTTGTCTTCTACCGGTGACCCCCCCCCCCCGAGTGGATCCGCATATGCAGGCGCTCGACACGCGGGTGTTTTTCCCACTCGAGCGCTCACGCTGTTAGCTCGTACTGACGTTGACGCTTCACGCGCTAGCTAGCAGCGACGGTTGATGCGGCGACGCAATTAACGTTAACGACCGTCCGACGGAGAAGTATCTTCCGTTCTTATGTAGGGCGGCTGGGAATCCGTGTAGTCGTAACAGCTACACGCAAACGCACCGCCACTGATACAAGATTCGTATGACAATATCGTTCGTTGACTGCCTGATAAACACGGTTTGTGCGCTGTGTGACGTTAGCTGGGTTCCGTCTGATTGACTTCCGCTCTCCGCTAAAAAGGCTTCCCAGCATTTCAAAATAAAGGTCAAAGCGAGCCTTGAGCAGCACAAAGGACAGCGTGTCACTCGGTTGGTGTATGATGCAGTCTTTAGAGCTACACGTACTTCTTAAAAGATAAATGGAAATCTTGGCTCACATTATGAAAACGATAGTACGGTTTGAAATCGTATATAACAAGAAACCCTGACCACACATCGCGAGTCGCGGACAAATGCCGGAAGCACATGGTGTGAAGAGCAATTGACAGTTTCGATGACAGAAAGACACGATTTAACCATTTCAATTTTAAGCCAGTCACGTAAAAGATGTATAGCACGCATTCAAACATGGAGCCTTACATCTCATTAACAGTCTCAATACACTTATGAGCAGCAGATAAAAAAACAACTCAAACATTTTTCTCTTGAAATCAAATGAAGGTTCAATTTATTTTTGTATTTGAGTAATGACTCTGTCAATGTTAATGGGACAGACATTTAGGGGACCTGTAATCTAAATCCAAACCATTTTCATGCATTGAATATCGTTAAGATAATTACTTCAGATTTTTTAAATAAAATAAAAATAAATAACTTGAGACCAACTTGCGATGGGATCACATCAGGGGCCAATGACCCCTCTTCACTTCCACCCCCTAACTGCACCCTTGTTCAGACTACGTCCATCTTCAAACATATTTTGTTCACGCACCTGTAATGTTTCAAGACTGCATTGTACAATTCCATAATCAAAATATGTCCACAGACGAAAACACCCTCACGCACAGAGTCACTAGTCCACACACGGTCACGGCTTCCATTTAGTATTAATACCTCTCTCTTGAATGAAAAAATACAATATAGTTTTACCAAATTGATATTCAAGGAAAGGCTGTTGTATTTTCCTGTTTTTATTATTTTGGCCAGTCCCGTTCGATCTGACTGGGTGTTCAAATTGCTAACACATAAAACCGACACATGATCCAAAAATATTCACTGAAGTGTGAACAAAAATCGCAAGATACAAACTTGTATTTTATTGTAACACTGAACACAATGTAACACAATGAGGTAAGTTAAATAATCCACATCTGTCATGTTCTTGAACCAGCGACACCACAAAATATTCACCAATCAGTAACAATGCCAAAACGCCCGCAAACAATGGCTAGTAACGCCCTCCTTTCGCCTCACAGTTTAATACAAACATATTTCTTAGGAATATTGATAACAATCTCCTTTGTCTTTGAGTTACAAATCCAAACTTACCAACTTTTTGTTTATTTTTTTTTTCCAAGAGGTGATACTCGTAAAAAAGATCCCCTGAGGGAGAAACATTCTTTTGATTTTTCTGATGAGAAACAAGCCACTACAGACACCGGCAGGCTCAGTCTGAATTTGCTACCATTTCTGCTGATGACTTGGCACGTTCTCACGGGGCACAAGGAGATACAGCGAGTGGCCATTTCAGTTTGCCTGTGCTGCAGTCACACTTTCAGAATAAATGATCCTTTAATGCTGGGAGAGTTGTTCATTACTCCACAGACATCTGCTGCACAGCACACGGGGGGGCTGCAACACCAGCATCCTGAAATAACCTCAGAGTTTTGAATCAAGTCCTCGTTGGGAGAGTGGTCAGAGAACAGTTTCTTTGCACTCAAGGCTTTGTTCGGGGGAGGGCGAGTCCAGTGGATGGGTGGAGGTGCTGGTTGTTTGCGGGAGGTGCTTTGGACGGCGCATGGATGGGGAACTCAAAGCACCGCAGCTCTGGAGGTGGAGGTCCTCGTGGCCGCGCTTCCTGGGGCTGCCGGCGCCGCGCTGGGTCATCACCTGTGCCGCAACACGCAAAAGAGAGGCACGCGTTATTATCTTCTTTCTTTTTAATTTGTTTGTTTTTTAAAGAAAGTCAGTATGATTGAACCATCCGTTTTCATCCATCTTATATTTTTCTGTTTTCTGGTGTGTAGCCTACCGAGCATTGCTGCCCCACGGGGCTGCTGATATCCAGCTAACGTCAAGAGACACAGGCCTACAAGATGGTGGTTTTCCAATAGACATTATACACCCAGTCTGATTCAGTTACCTGATCTATGACATTGGCACTAAAAATGGCCTCCTCCATGTGTTTCTCATCCGACTTGATGACACACTTGATGTTGTTGACGACCTGCTGGACATCAGGAGGTAGACTGCAGCTCGAATGCTCCAGGAACTTGGCCACCAGTACTTTGGTGTCTTTGTACATCTTGAAGTCAGCCAGGGAGTGTGGGCGTTCGTGGGAGTGGGAGTGCGTGTGCAGGGCGCGCGGTTTGAGGTGGATGTCAACTTTCCTGCCCTCTTTGGGCTGCTTCCTGAGACTTATGTGACTGGGTTTACTTCCAACTACCCCAGAAGTAACGTCTGCCGGCTCTGAACAGGGAAGAAAAATACGTTAAATCATATTAAAAAAATCAACAGTGATACTTAGTGCTTTGGGTATGATGTAACATATGAACTGGCACATATTTTAATCATTATCTTATATTGTGATATTATTAATCAGTATAATACTTATTTGAATGAATAGATGAACAACTGCTTCCTACTACAGTTCGTTGTGTTTCAGTCCTACTACTAAAACAATTGTTATAATGGTACCTTGCTCTGGTGATGTGTGAGTTGAATCTTCAGCAACAGAGATATTCGCAGAGGTGCAGCCACAATTTTCTCCTGCAGAGGGAGTCAAAAGACTTAGTTTGGAAAAAACAAAGCAGGCACACACTTTTGCAGGTTCTCGGCCCACCATTGCTTTAAGACAATGACAGGCTGCTGGACTGAAACATGAACAAATGACTCAGAAAACGAGGACTTCGTTGACCAATCATTTGAGCGCTTGTTCCATTGTTTAAGCTGTGGGCTTGTGTAACAATGTTGCACTCACTTCCTGTGGTGGAGGTGCAGGAGATCGGGTCACTGGTAGAACGGACTATGCGGGCCAGTTTGCGATATCTCCTGGCTGCCCGGAGGGCCCGAGGCTTCTCCGATGGCGAGGGCCCACTTTGGGCTGAGGTAGAGGGGGGCTGCGACGCGGAGGATGGAGACCAAACGCTGAAACACAGCCTGGGGCCTCGTGGCCTGCTGGGAGGGGAAGGGGAAGGGGAGGGAGCCATAGGACTCGTGCCGTAAGTTCCACCGGACGAGGCGACGGAGGTGGGGGAGCACGGCTGAGGTGGCGGGGGAAGAGTAACGGGGAGCGTTAGCTTCCGGCTCATCATCCGCGCCTTGATGAGGGAGTGCGTCGACGCCTTGGGTGGCTCCTCTGTGAAGTGTTTGGCCGACGCGAGCTCGTCACACATGTGCATGGCAGGCCGCAGCTCCCCGCATGCGTGCGCGTTGTCCGTTGGATCCTCCTGGTCCGGATTGCTGAAGTTTTCAGAGGACCAGTCGGGAGAGCGCTCCAGAGAGTCCTGTGTGTGCGAGGACTCACTGTGACCCGTATCGCCCGGGCGAGCGCCAGTGTTGGGCAGCCCACGATGGTCACGTGCGCAGAGTTCCAGGCTGTTGCAGCTGCCGTCGATGGGAGCGGCGCGGCGCAGGCCGTAGGGAGAGGAGTCAGAGCCCTGGACCTCCAGGGAGCACAGGTCCTCCGAAGAGCAAGTCTGGTCCTGATCAGCCACCTCAGACACCATCAGTGACGCGCTGTCCACCGAGGCTGAGAAAGGAGGGAAAGGCATCATCAGCGTGACTTCTGGTGGACAATCGCCTGCAATGTTCAAGTGTCTTTACCCTGAGTGCTGAATCCTGCAGTGGTGATTCTCTCACACAGACTGGATTGAGTGGCCTGCTGCTCCATGCTGGTGGCGAACTGTGAAGTGGACAATATTAGTTTGCATAAAATGTATGAAGCGGATAAAAAAAATAAAAATTGCTCTACTGCCTCACCATCAACACATGCATTTGGTCTGTAGAGGGCTCTACAACTCCACGACACACCAAGAGATTAATAGACGTTCTTTGTATCATGCGGAGTAAAATACTATGTTCACATAACTCAACATATTGACAGATGAAATAATCAGCTGAGTTTCTCCTGTTCGCTGACGGCTCTCTCACACAATCAATCCATCACTGCCCGCTTCAATTATTTATTTACAGTAATTGCTGCTAATCTATCGCAAGTGAAAAATACTTCTGCTGATTCCTGTTTGAGGTATATTGTAAAGAGTATATGAATTTAAAATGTATACAATTTGTATTAGTTTTGTAATGCTTTTATTCCTTCTGTGTCTTTTAATTTTTTATATTTTCTGTTAATGTTGTTTGCTGCTGCTGGCTGGCTGAGGGCTACCAAACACAATTAAGTTGTGCAACCACAATAACAATACAAACCTCTTTTTTTTAAAGCTGTGAATATAATAGAAGATAAAAGGATTTGCCTAACGAGTATATTGTTATTCTTAGCACTGAACAATGAGATGCGGCTAAGCCTCAGTCTGCACTTCACATGACTGTCAAGCAACACCAGATAAATAATGAAAGTTGAAATGTATCTTGTCAACGGCAGACACCAGAGTAAATGCCAAGAACTGAGAGAACAGCCGAGTTCAGTTTATCAAATTAAGTTTCATACAGAAACTCTATAATATCTTATTCACATTTCAGAATTTAAAGTAACTCAGGCTTAACCTTGAAATGCCCTTGGTTTGAAGGCTCGCATAAAAATTTGAAAGACATGAATCTTTATCCTAATCATAACATTTTTATGCAGTTCCTGTATGATCTTTTTCATAAAACCAGACACAAAACCTCACGTTGTTCCTGACGAAACGATACCTCTAGTAGAGATATTGCCATGACACACATGCATGTTCCCCAGAGGAAGAATCCTGATGAAAGTTTTCAACATCTCAACATCCAAGAGACAATGACCAATGTGTTTATATGGATGCGGAGAGTCTGTTCTCACCTGGCTGGCTGGGGTCTGTCCCACCACGGACTCATAGGGAGGAGGCAGGTCAGTCGGGTACAGCGTCCCTGGACTGTTGATAGGAACCCCGTAGATGGCACTGAAGGGAGAATGGGGGAAGTCCAGATGAAGGCCTCTGTCAGGGGCATAACAGCAGAGTTTAAATAAATTTAAAAAAGACAAAAAAAACAATGCGAGTGGTAAGTATACTGAGCTGGCTGCACTGTTGTCCAGAGTATTTAAGGAACTAGCACAGCAAGTCTGATCCATCCCATCTGAGTAAAAGAAATACAGAATACTGCCCACTAAAAAGAGAGAAAGGATGAAAAACCCTGTCTTGTACCCAACACTTTAAGACAGAAGATATATGTGGGTATGGTATTTTTTATGTGCACCACCACTATTTCCTATGGAGCAAATTAAGAATAAGCAGCCATGCATGCACCCATATCTTTTAATTACAACCTTCTTCTCCTCTAAAGTGGTGGAGCATGAAATACAACCTGAGAGCTCCCACCAATCATCTGAGGCGTGATGATGTCATGACACATTCCTGGCCCTGAGCAGGAACACCATAAATGCTTCTTCTGCCTTGTTTATATTGCTGGCATAATTGACAAACAGATGTAGCTCCTTGCCAAAGGAGTCGGCAAAGCTGAGAAAACGAAGGTAGTGATGACAGAGGCTGGGCTGATCTTTCACAACAACAACAACAAGAACAACAACTGTGAACGACGGCTGTTACAGAGCAGAGGGAAAAGCTCTGAGCTGACTGTGGATGATGATACAGCACATGTGATGGTCACAGCCTGGTAGCAGCCAGACACATGCACTGCTGCTTAATATGATGGATCTGGATTTTAATGCTTATGTTGCCTCTGGCATCTGTATATTCACCATCTCTTAGGGGATTTTAGGGTGGTCAACATTAAGATGTTGACGTTTTTTTACTGGTAAAAGTGGTTAACTGACAAAGCAGCAAGAATACACATCACACCTCATCCTTTCCTTTCTAATAACTTTGAAATCATTATTATTCATTCTTCCAATAACACCTGTGTTTATGTCACAAACAGACCACTAGTGTCTCGTTCATTATAGGTCTCTATGTCAGGGCAGGTAGGAAGTTATAGTAATATGATCCTGTTGGAATTTTGAAGTTAAATTATTTTTACTTACTCTATATCTAAGAAAGTCAGTACACCAGTAAACCCATTGGTTCGGAGTTACATGATTGACAAACGTTTTGGGAGTAATTATGTATTTGTACACCTGGAAAGGAGGTCCTAATTTTCAAGTAGTTTATTGGAATTAATTAGTGTCCTTAATTGGTGTCTTTGCAGACCATATTTGTTAGGAAATTAAAATCTGTATCCCAGAAGATACGGTGGCCCCGTGGGTTTAAAGGAGCTTATGTCAGCGCTGAGAGAAGATGTCATCCTGATGGGCGGGATTTTGGCCTCTCACCTTTGTCCATCCATTGAGGGGGTGCAGGTGTACTCTGGAGGGTAGTATGGTGGTGGGGGAATGGGAGCTATGAACTCATCAAAGTCCAGTGTTTGGTGGAGGATCGTCCCGTGGGGGGTCATGCAGTCAGCATTTAGAGCTCGCGCTCTGTGCGGCATGAACTGAAACACAGCGTAAAAAAAAAAAACGTTATCCGGCAATTATCACTCAAGGTGCTCTCTGTTGTTCATTCATTATTTTAGACCATGATTCATCCAGGGAGACGTGACTGAGCTAACGTCTATTCACGCAGAACCTCTCAGCTGTTAATTTAAGCAGCTACTCACATCTGTGCCGTTTTGTCACTAAACAAGCTTCACTGCAGCAAATGTGATTCAAGTGCCTTACTCGGGGAAACCTCAACAGCAGCTCTGAGAGCGATTTACTCTCCTCACTCAGACGTTTCTAAGTGGGACAACTTTCTGGTCAGAGCCAGTTGGCTTTTCTAATCTTCAAGCTGCCATCGCTGCTATTCACTCGGCTAAATTTAGTGAGCTAAATAAAAGGTTAACAGCTCTGGCGGTAAATGGGAAAGCAAGTCCACTCTAGGAAAGTCTAGGAGACAGTTTGAGTTGTGTCTATGTTACTTATTCTATAGTTTAATTTGTATAGTTTTTTTCTTTTTTTCCATCTACTTTTACTCTTTATAAAATCCTGTTTATATTTCACTTTTAATGTATTTTAATGTCAGCTTGTGTCTGTTGTGTAAAGCATGCCTGATTTGAATGGGCTTTACAAATAAGCTTTTCGTTTGTTGCGAATCAATAGCTATATTTCACCGTGTTCAGCCACTCCATCTTTGAATCTTCCTGGAGGCATGCACGTATGCTTTGGTGTACTGTCAATGTATACTTTGTTATATGAATGTAATGTCTGCAAGATATACATATAGTTGAACATGAGAACATGAACACTTATTTATGTAGTATTTTCTTTGACTAACCTTTTCTCTTCCATTTCTAATTATTTTTTTCTTTTCCTTTTATTTATATACCTTCGTTATGAAAGGTACTGTATAATTAATATTTTTTAATTGAAGTTTATCATTAGCATTTATAAAACAAAGAAAACTGCCTCCCATTTACTCATCATTGCCGTTTACTAATTTACACCAAAAGTATACAGGAAGCAAACAGTTGTTTATTTGCAGGTCCTGCAGACACGTAGCAGCAACATGAATTCAATTTGAGTCGTGCTTCTGGCCATCAGGGACCATCAGGGAGTGAGGTGATAATTCTCTAGGGGTTTATCAACATGATTGATCCCTTCCAAGGACATGAAGTTATATGTGACCCATTGAAGCAGCTTTAAAGAAGAATTCCTAATAGAATATTTAAAACATATATGTTCAGCAGTCCTTTGGCCAGGTCTGATTTATACATTGATCTTTGTTGACATGTAACCTGCATCTAGATTGAACTAATGCAATCTGTCTGCACTCTGAGTTAAACGTCATGTATTGTTTTAGTTACTATGTAGCTGCTATTACTGCTTATTTCCTTCCCATATCACCCTGTGGTCCAACCAAGCTTTAAAGATTTTCAGTAAGCACAAAATGAAAAGCGTTACTGCAAAGCCATTTCATATGTGGTATTGAGTTGGCACTGTTACTAAACCATTCCAGCAGATAGGGGCATTAAATAACTATTGTTAGTGGGAAATACAAAGGGTAATATCCTCTTGGTAATATTTGTATCGTCATCATCATCGTTCCACATAATATAATAAAAGAGTCCCAATGGAGATGATGCACCTTTGTTCCAAATCAATATATTTTGGAGATGCATGAGAACACTTAGAGAGGTCCAGTGGCCATTGACCTTCACAGTGTATATTTATATCCACCACCACTTATCAAGCAGGTTAATTTCACAACATTCCGCTTCAATCTCTTAAAATGGATGAAGGTTGGCAAATCGCCCTTGAGGTGCATGTGTTTATCCAAGCTAATGATAGCAATCCCCTGACTAAAAGAGGGGTTTTTTTAACGACGGGATGGTCACCGAAAAGAAAATACGGTTATACGGCAATTGGCGCGGTCTTCTGTCACACTCACCATCTGCAGCACATCAGTCGAGACCATCTGCATACAGCACATTGCAGTGGCCAGCGCACACACAATGGTGGAGATGACATTAAGGGCACACACGCTGAAAAGCAGCTCCTGCAGGAGAGGAAGGGAGAGGAGGACACTGTTAGAGGTACACAATTAGAGGAAAAACAGTGTGAAAAATAGGAGAAATGACAAGGGTGCAAGAGAAAAGGGGAGGAGAGAAAGATTAGTCAGTTACAGCTATGAATATTAAAGATGTGCGAATGTAGAACAACAGGAGAAGACACAGAGCAACACGCCTTAAAAAAAGGCATGCGCTTCTAAAAATGACTGGTTTAGTACGACAACCACACAGAATGAAAAAAAAGCTAATCTCAGTTATGATTATATTTAAAAGGTTAAAGACTAATACAATAAAAAGCATTATGTTGTTGACCTACATGAAGGCATAGTCCACAATTCAACAACAGGGAAAACAACCTCATTCAAGGTTAAGCACAAGCATGGACACATTCACACTGGCAATGCAGCAAGGGGACAAACCAAACTGAATCAGAGACTCACGACTGCAAATATTTGATAATGTCCTAAAAAGGTAGAAAATGATCAACTTTGGGCAGCTCCTTTTTTTTAACCATAATGTTTTTTGTACATTGTAACAGATTACGCTTTAATCCCTATACCATTTGAATTAATTTGCTAAAGAACAGCGCAGGAACAGTAATTCCACCTGCGCAGTAATTGGCTCTGGGAATACCAGCGGCGCATGTTGAGAGGAGGGAGGGGAGCAGCAGCTCGTCCTGGATATGCACTCCACTTAAATTTAACTTCTGCTTCTTTATTAAGTTCACAGGGATCATCTGCCTTGATAAACTCGTTTTCACGTTCCCTATAACTGTATCATCCGGACTTCCATTATTGTTATTCAACTGTGTGAGACTGACAAAATATGGGAGGGAGGAGGAAGATGGTGGAAGAAGGGGTGAGTATTTGGTAGAGAGGAAATTAATCACAATCCCTCGCTCATACATCTGCGACCAAAATGCGCTGTTCTCCCACAAAGTTAATATTTAGCATGGCAGCCCAAAAATATGTATGAATGTAATAACATTGTTCCTTAAAGACAATGACAGGAGGGACATTCAGCACTGGAATAAAAACCTTCATTCACCTTTTGTTCTTGGAATCTTAAGACGCTTCCCTGTTACCACACACAGGTTTTTCCAGCCTGTCGCACAGATTATTCACCAGATTCCAAAGGCACATAATTAAAAGCGACATCACAAAACCCTGACTTGTATTAGTTTTCTGACAGCCATCTCCGTCGCCTTACATCAGACAGAGTCGTCAACTCGTTACACTCTGTTTCCAGACCACTCAAACTCGGTGGAGTGTGCAGATTCAAAGGTCTGGACCCAAGGAACCGAGTGTCCCTCCTCTAGCTCAACAGCCTTTCTGTATGCGTGCAGATACACCGGCCTCCTTAAAGGATGGTCAGGCTTGGTGTCTTTTTTGCCAATCAGATGTGACTCACTGTGACACTGTCTTTTGAAGTTTATGTTGCCAGCTCTGCAACTGTTTTTCAAACATGTTTGATATCCAGAAAGCATTTGCCGAACCTCCAGTCCGTGGGAAGTTAAAGCAGAGATGATGCCAGTTGGAACCGGCGAGGTTGACGTTGTGCAGTGCCAACTATAAAATGCTACTAGAACACGTTTGCCTCGAGAGGTAACGGTTACGGAACTTTTTTTGCATTGGAGGAAAGTCTGCAGAAAGTTTTTCACATCTTGAACTAAAACCCAAATTATCAGAAGAATTAGATGATACTTTGATCACAATACAATTTTCATATCTCATATCCATGAAGGCAGGTCAGCTTAATTTAATTACCCAAACCAGTCTCAGGCATCTGCATCTTCATGCGGCAGTGAATGTCCATGTTGTGCTTTGTCGCGTTGGAGCTAAAACATGGACTGGAAAGGTGTCCTCAGTAGAGAGCAGCACTCGTCTTAAAGACCAAAAGCTGTCGTTGGTCCCTTTTGCGGCGGCTAAGTGGAGATGAGCTACGGTAGCGAGTGTACCGGTAGTTTAGTTAACACAGCATCCAAAACAATATGAGTGAGCAATGTTTTCCCCGTCACTGTGTGTGTGTGTACAGATAACCGGCGGGGGGGGCGGCGATCCACTCAGCTGTGTTCCCACTAAAGGCCTTTAGCAGCCAGGGGGCAGCTATGCAGTAGTAGCAGTTGTGGGTGAGAAGTAAGCAGGGAGTCCATGTAGAATAAAACAGGCAATGGAAGGTTTCTGAATGAGTGTGATTCACCGCCGCCACGAAAGGTCGTTGAACATGCAGCTGTTACTGGGCACCCAAAACATCTGCAGTTTGCCGCATCACAATGAGACTACAGCCGTCCTCACACACAGATGTGCACACCCACTAACAGGTGCATGCAGTAATCACAGGATTCTCTTCAGAGAATAAAAAATGCTTGTATGATTATTTCATACCAGAAGACCTGAATTCAAAACAACTATTGTGGCCTCCACGCATGAATGGCACCCGGAAGTGGCACCTGCGGCCTAGCCTGACCACCACCTTATAGTGACAGATTGTACCGCACTCTGAGCCTAACAGGGGACTTAATTAGGTTTTCACTTCACTGATTTTCAACTGTTGTCTCACCAACCATGAACGCCTTGACCAGACACAAACAACACACGAGCCTCCACTAGCTGCTCCCTCTAAAGTAGGACAGGCTTCCATTAGCACAGTGCAGCAGCACCTTGCTTTTCTCCAAACAATATGGAGTTTCAGATCGTCAGATACGTTTGGTATCCCCAAGCAGCTCTCTGCAGGATCCGGCAGAAAATCTTGCATTACCTTCAGGTAATCCATGCAGCAGTTTCAGGGGGGTCAGTCCAGACTGTTGGCAAAGCCCTTATATTTAATAACCTCCAATAACTAGAAGCAGTTGGGGTTTTTCTAATTAACTACTACATGCACAGACTGTAGTAAAGACCTCTTACCCAGAGTCTTGACCTTCCAACCAAGGTAATCTCTGACCTACAAAGCTTAAACGGTCCAATCATAGAACATATAAAAATCACCCTTTTTCTTCTTTTGTCGCAGCTCGATGAGATTCTGTTCTGCTATCCAGCACGACAGATAGAACCCCATCTGTTGTCCGTAGATGACTTCATCCAGGGATTCATTTCTGCCTGAATGAGGTTACTGCAGGCTAATTCTCCCTCAACAATTGAGACCAATTCTTTTTTAAATCAGGTTCAAAGGTCGCTCTGTCTTATAGGGCATACACCATTTAAAAACTCACAACTAAGGCCAACAAATACTGATTGATTCTGTAAAAAGCTTTGAACACCCAGCAAAACCCACTGCCGACACGCTGGCATGTTCAAAAGAAACAAAAGACACCGGCAAGACAGTCCGACCTCTTGCACTGAAATTCTGACGTCTTCTCATTTGCTCAGAAATAATTAAAAATATGCATGACAAGGCTTTGCTTTTCTGTGGACGGACGTTGTCAGTCTGGCGTCTGACTACCGAAAGGTGATGAATAGGGAACTTCATAGATTTCTGACAAGCATCTACTTATAGCCCTAATATTTATGACAGTTTTATCTAATTAAGCTATTTTGTTCTGGTAATACATCTGCAGCGTAGATAGCAGCCGGTGCATTTGTGGGATTTCCCTTGTGAGTGCAAATGCATAATGACATAATAAATCCTGTTAGGAGAAGAAATGTAAGAACGCCTCTTAAGAAAGTGTTCAACATGCCCGCTCAACATATATATATATATATATTTCACCTCTGGAAGATACCTCGCCTCAAGCCAAACAGCTTAGTGAGTTACACAGCAATGTTAAACCTTTGCCCCCTAACAGGAAATCACAAATTATCTCAGTACTCCCTCCCATCGAAAATGTGCAGCCTCTGGCAGTGGAATGAAAAAAAGATGGAATGGAAATTAAATGTGTCTGCAGAGAGCGAAATGATACATTTTGGCAGCAAAATGAATACTTCTAATTAAAAAAAAAGTTTTAAACAGAAAGAGAGACGCTGTTGAGAAATGATTGAATAATAAAGTCTAGGTGGTTTTATTTGGCTACTCAACCTACCTGCTCATAATAATGAAGTACTCCTGTAATGTCATTTAGTGACACACAAACTATATGGCGACTGCACCAGGAGTTTATTAGGATCAGAGAGCCATTTGAAATGGCCGAGGACTCTTGGGACTCGGGCATGACAGCTTCCTCTTAGGGATAATTCAACTCATCTGACAACTTTGGCACTTAATAATGACACCAATTCCCATATCTCTTTTAATGAGATATGATCCAAATGACAAATGTGCTTGATCTTTCCTCTTTTTAGAAGCATGCTTCATCCTATGAAGTCTTTTATTTGGTTATCAATGTTTTATAATCAATCAGGGTCATAAAATGAATGGATATGATCGCCGTTACCCAATAAAGACACAGTAGCATGTACTGTATATCATTCCTGCAGATAATGAGTCAAGATAAATCTACAGAGATCGTGCACCTCCAAACTACCGCCAGACCAGGCTGGATACACACTGCATACTGAGAGGTCTGCATCTAGGAGAAAGACAAACGCCATTCTCCATCTACTGCCCCATTAACGGCAGCCCGGACGCTTTCAGTGTTTTGCATTTCTCGTCATTCGGTTTTCTCACATGGGTTGTGATACAAAGTGAAAAAGGGAAACTCTGAGACATCACTTTCGACTACTCTGGCAATTGAAGGATAAATATTTTCAAACAACTACAAACTCAAGTTAACAGTATTATTAGGATTAGAGAAGCAGACCGAGTGGTAGAGTCTGTTGAGCTAAATGATAACGTCAGTATGCTAACATGATCTTAGTCTTTTAATTCATTCTATATACTGTGTATTAAGCGTTGTTGGACAGAACCTAAGATTAAAGGTTTTCCTTGCAAATCCTCTGTAAATATGACATAAATAACTCCCCAATAGATGTTTTTTATACATAGATGTTTAAATACACACAAGTAGTGCAGGTAGTGCTTCTGGGGACCACGAGTATCTGTACAAAAACAAGATTTTTCAGTCCGGACCAAAGTGGTGGACCGACTCACTGACACTCCCGTCCCTGGAGTTTAGGAATAAATCTTAAATCTGGCCACACAAATGGATTTCAAACCCTCAGCGTGGTTAAAGGCCGCCATGACGGCAGAATAAAGGCAAGGCTGCATGAATCAACATCAGAGACTATTGACGGCTTCAACAGGACATTTTGTTAGAATGTGAAAAATACATACTTCACTGTTTTCGTTTGAATTGTGAGTACACGTGGTACATCGCGTTGTTACCATAGCTACCAGCAGTTCCGACAGTTACACACTTCTACATTTTTTCAAGTTACCTTGAGTCTGAACACATTCGTACTGGTGTATAATGAGTTTTGCATGTGAAGACCTTGTCTCTCAGCATCAGCCCAATCAAGCCCCCTGCTTGCTCACACCCACCTTGAGCCGCAGGCGAATGGTGTTGCAGTCCCTCAGCGGATTCAGCTTCAGCGTCTCTCCCAGGTTGTTGCAGCTCGTGCTCTGCTGCTGCAGCTCGCAGCACACACACACTCCATCGCTGTCAAACTTGAGCTGGGGGGGAGGAGGGGGGAACACACATCCGCACTCGTGCATGCACGCCACGTACACAAAAAACACACAAGCACACACACGCACAAAAAGCACACGCACGGACACATGCACTGATCAGACCTGAGCTTGGTGTGTCGCAGCTATGTAGTTTGTGCTGTGATTACTTCTGAAATAAACGCACTGTAAATCTAAACACACGCAGGAAGCTGACATGACACTGTAGTGTGATTTGGGGGGAAGGTCGCTGCCCAGAAGTGCACAACAAAACACAAGAGGCTGTGAGAAACGTGGAGCTGCAATGGGGGGGGCGGAGGTAGAGCGTACCTCTGCAATGTGTCCCAGATTGAGAAAAAACAGGACACGAACCCAACAAGTACGGGTTAATTACGTTGGGGAGGGGAGATGAGGAACGTTTGCATTTCAGACATTACTTGGGGGGGGTCTCTGGGGAGCCACATGAATCAGTGCAGTTGGTCTAGTCGGCTGGTCCCACTTTTGGAGGCAGAAAAGCTGCTTCTAGTGTGTAAGCGGTTAGGGTTAGTGGGTTGGGGGCCGGATTAATTAAAAGGGGCTTCTTCAGTCATGAAAAAACACAAGAGATCCTCGTGCTATAAATTCAGCACCAAAAATCCGCTTAGCATCTCATTATGGGAACATGGAGACTGCAGTTGTGTTCTGTGTACAATTACTTGGATACAGAACGAAAAAGATCAATACACTTGTTTTAAAGTGTCTTGTTTTCCGTGGGTCGACCCAGCCGGGGTGTAGAGAGCATTTATCTAACTGCTACATACCACTTGTGAAAGACCTTTAAAAACATATATGAGATGGGAATTCCAACAATTTTACACAGGTGAGTTCAGCCCAGCTTGTGAAAATAGTTGTATTACGTCTTTTGTGGCTCCGGAGGAATTTGAGCACATCTGAGATAACAACCGCGGCGATGTCATCTGGGGTTATCGTCACATTCAGTCTGATTTTCTAAAAGTGTAACAGAAAGCCTGCTTTTCCAATTGGGGTCAGGCAGTTTGCAATGCAGGGGCACGTACATGGAAAGAGACGACAAAAATAAGCTGTTGATGGCTGTTGAGAAGTGAAAAATAAGCTGTTTTTTGAAAATATAGTATTAGAGGGCCATTGAACCTTAAAAAGCATGTCCACCGCTTCTCAAAGATTCAAAGATTGTTCACTGGTTCAGCATTGGGAAGGTTACAAAAGGTTCAAGCTAATTTAAAGATCTGCGACAAGTAAACGCTTATTTTTGAAACCCTGTGAAACTGAAGCATGTCATTGTTTTCTAAATCAGTCAACCACGTAAAAGTTCTTCAACCAGGGGATCGGGTTCAGATAGAAATGAAAATAGGAAAAAGTCTGTGCAGTGGTTCCAAACACTTGAAAGCAGAGCTCTTCTTTTGGAGAATTTTGTGCCCCTTAATGTGTCTCTGAGTTAAATTCAGGTCATCTCGGTGTCTACTTCGATTCTGACCACGTCTCTCTTGAGTCACTGCGATACGCTTTCAGCGTTTTTTCTCTGTATTTGAGCTATTTCAGCTCCTGGCAAAGATGGATGTGATAATGATCGACCATTAGTCACTAACACACAAGTAGTTCACTTCACTTGGCAGTGTTGACTCAGATCTGCAAGCTGCTCAGAGAAGAAGACTGCCATGTGCCAACATTCATGTCTTTAAATGTTGACTTACACGCAGACAAAAAAGAACACATGCCCATAACAATAAAATCCCCAAATCCTTCACATTTATCTACAGGCTCATGGCACAGTGATTACGTGTGTTTGTGATTTGAAGATATTCCGCTACTGAGAAACGCCATTATTTCACATGTGCATGCTTCATTTCATATCATATTGTCAAATCTACCTTTTGGAAAGTCAAGGTTAGAATACCAGTAACACTCAAAAGATCGTGTCGACCTGATTTAATCTTTCACCGTGAATTATCTGTTTCCATTCATAGTTAAAAAAAAAGGGTTTGATCAATCAGATTCCTACATTCGGTTCAAGAAAATGTACATACAGTACCAGTCAAAGTTTGGACACACTTTCTCATTCAGTTCAATGAGTAAGTGTGTCCAAACCTTTGACTGGTTAAAGTCCAGTGGGTCTCACCAGCTGACACTCCTCCAGAGAGTTGACCAGCTGAGCGTTCTGGCAGGACAGGATGGAGCCCGCCAGGTTGAGCATGACACACACAGCGGACAGCAGCATGAAGAATGTGATCTGTGACAGAGAAAGACAAAAAGAGAACACATGTCCAAATGTTGCTTCTTACTAATGCTTATTCGACATTCATATAATTGCCAATATTGATTTTAAAAGTGGGTAGAATTCTGCTGGGCGCTGTGAACCTCACTGACAATCGTCACTCGGGCTGGAAAATTGGCACCGATGTCAAGAGGAATAAAAATAATCAGAGACCTCGGGAGTCTGACTCAGATCTGAATCATAATCACAGAAAAATTTTGCACCAAATGTCAGATCAAAATGATTGACCCACAGCGAGCTGTTTCTATCATTATTGACATCTGACCAGGCTTTGGGTCAATGTCTTGCAGTTAGTATGAAACCCAGACACACATTTCTATGCGCTTCAAGAAGAAACAGCTGGCAGTTAAGATCCGATGTACTTTTACACAAGAGTTTTACCCTCTTTTATTTATGTATTACCAGGCTAACAGACCCAGGGATATAAATCCTCTTTGAATAAATATGGTTACCATTTCCAATACCTAAAATTGCGGCAGAAAGAGTTTTAAAATTGTCCAGTATGTTGCAAACCAGCTGTTTTCTGAACATTGTCATGGGTTCACTGTTGATGAATTTAAAAATCCCAATAGCTTATTAAAGCTTGTGTTGGTGGCAGACATAAAGGGCATTAGCAGGAGGAGTTTGACGGCTATAAAGGTTATTGACAGAAGGAGAGGAGGAGAGAGGGACCAGGGACGGATGTGGCATGTAATAAACCGAAGGGGCAATAACTTTAAGTGCTTTTCACCATGGCAGAAAATGTAAAGGTAGAGAAATCAGTAAAACACTAATGGTACATTAAACAAAAGGAACAGTGCAATTATTAATAGACCGCGCAGGAGAGAAGAAGAGGAAACAGAAAGAACAAGATTCTGTAGTCAACAAAAGTACATTGTGTGTGTATATATATATATATATATATATATATATATATATATATATATATATATATATATATATATATATATATCAGGATATTTTTTATATAGTACCAGTGAAATGTCTGACATGGTTTCTCATTCAATTCAATAAGAAATATACTACATCACTGTATCAATGTGCACATGTAAAATTCACAGCTTAGTTAATTATAAAACATCAGAACAAACCGACAACAAATACTGACTGACGGTGAGTCTGTCAAGTACATTTTGTTTGCATGGGATATAAATGGAGTATAAACAAAAGGGCTCGTGGGGAGTTTGTACATCGTCACCTTCACAGAACTCATTGATTCCTCTGTAAGAATCAGATATGACGGATTTTTGTTTGTTTGGCAGAACTGAGGTTTCTTACTCAGATTGATGGGATCTACCAGTGGAACGAGCGAGCAGAGAAAAAAGCCCTGTAAATTATGAAGTGTTCCTTTTCAATCACAGGGATGTGAATGTTTTCAAAGCCTGAGATTCGAGACTGGCTATGTTTTGTTTTTTTGCAGAATACAAGAAGCCACTGAGTGCTCTTCAAAGTGAAAACCTTTTACTGCTGGTTCTGTAGTATCCAGAGTTGAAAAGATTCCATCATAAGATCCAGACCTGCTTTACATGATTTATTACCAAGTGTGACATTAATAGTTAACTGTTATCAAAATGCTGCTCTGCAGAAAGCTTCCTCATTAATTCACATGGCAGTTTAGAGCGTTTAACTCAAATAGAGCTATGACAATAACCTTCACAAAGAGGATATTTTAATGCACAGACCAGTGAGAAGCTATCTCTGACACACAGGCCATCACTGGTCTTTGAATGAAACCTCTCTGGGTTTGCATTGTTGCCAGCTGGGTCAGTCGGATAAAATGCTGCACCTCAAACAATAACCAGCTGCAATTCCAACTAATGAGAAACCACCCCTCTTTATCAAAGCTCTCGTGGCTTTGGGTGTACTCGTGCAAATAATACTCTGCCGCTTTAAAATGATATATAGTTGTTTTTTGGTTGAATAATTCCCATAGCAATCTGTGTCAGATCTTCTAATCACTCTTTATTTCAATCCGGGGTGACTATAAAACACACGGCCAAAAAAAAAAGTCAAGTGATGCTACATGGACCCTGGACCACACACACACACTGGCTGAAATATGTGTTTTTGTGAAACAATGGGGGAAAGGTGCCATGTGAAAAGCCTTTTATATCTAAATAGTCCCATCCAGGCCTGTGTGACCCAGGTGTCACCTGTGCCCCCCCCCGTGGTGACCCTCTGCTCAGCTGATTGTCATGCCCGGCCCCACTCCACTGCCTTCTCATTACAATGTAGGATCACATTGCACCATTTAGCAACCAGTCATTAATTACTGCTGCGCTGCCGTCTGCATGTCAAAGAGGTAAACACACGCACGCACACACACACGCGCACACACACACACACGCTCCACAGCCGAGGCGGATTTAAGCTGCGTGTGATCTCCCATCGCTTAGCGCTCGCTGCGGAGGACAATAGACCACAATACAATCACCATTCATCTCCATGACACACACTCATAGATTAAGTATTAAGACCCGAGGTTCAGGTGTATTACTGTAATTCTCCATAACTGTCAGTGGGGTGAAAATCATTTGGCTTTAGCTTCGCCTCTAACTATCCTTCATCCAGCTGCAGTGTAGTTTTCTTTACACAGCAGTGGTGAGTGATGACATTCCATATATGTAGTAAAAAAACTAAATAGACAGGTTTATTCTTGTGTACGCTGAAGGTGTGTACTTAGGTAGGTTGTGTATAACCCTAAAGGTACCTGGTGGACTTTTGTTTTGGTCGCTTAGTGGACCCCGATGTGGTTTTGGCCGTAGTTGACTAGGATCTCTTCACCAATTACTCGCTCTTAATCTTTTGTGCTCAGCGAAATATTTTAGAGAAACTAATGAGCAGAATATTGAAAGTGGTGCTTTTGTGGGATTTATTTTGTGGAGACACACAGCTCGGGGTTAAAAAAGTCTGGGAAGAAGAAGTCTGCTAGTCATTAATAATATTGCATGACAACCAACCAGGAAATACAGGAAAGGAACTGGATTCGACCAATTTATGTTTGTGTTTTGGCAACAGAATGTAAACAGAAACTTATTTGCAACAAAACAAAAGTTCCTTTGGGGAAATGAGATTATCTCACTCTTATCTCGTTAAATAAGATAATTCAATAATTCTATCTATTAAAATATAAAGCTAGCAGGGGAACTGTTGTTTTTTAATTAAGTTAATCTTAACAAACAACTGATAACATTTCCATTAGTGACTTTGATTTTGTAATCTTTGCTTTTTCCAGATGTTCTGTTGAGTTCTGTTTAAATTAACAGTCAGCTGCCTTAGATTTTCATGATGGATAGACATCTAATCAAACAGCGAACCAACATGTTGTCCTTGTCTGGAGTTTCAATGGATTTGGAAACTCTGTAAATCACTCAGAATCACAAGTGCAAACATTTATAGTCTCTCTTGTGTCCTCATCTATCTGCAAAGCCACAACAACACTAACAACAACAACAACAACAGAGCAGGCTCATTCATCATCACCTCGGCTTATTTCAAGAAGCACAAATCAGAGTTAACATAAGCATCTCAGTGGTGAAGCAGGCGCAGAAAACTATACTAATCTTTCATTGTCTCATAATAACTCAAATATTTTAAGAATTGAGGAATTATCCACTGATCATTTTAGCAGAACTTTAAGCCGCAATATCTTGAGTTTTATTATTCAGATGGGATTTATATAAAATGATCATTTGTGTTAGTGTTTTGTGTTTGTGTTTTGACTGTAGCAGAAATTTGTATTTAGCCTGCAGCAGCACTGCAACACAACTCTATTTATTTTAAATTATCTCTGAGGCATCAGAGTTGGAGTCGGTGTTGTTTTGTTTTTGCTGCAGCAGCAGATCACAAACCCTCGGATTCAGTTTCCCTGGGACACTGTTTATGAATCCTGAGGCCCTGTAGATGTAGAAACATGTGGGAACAAACAACTGCAGGAGATTAAAGACCATTACTGAATATTGATTCCCAAGGCTAATGGCAGTTAGCCTTGGGAACTTCCAGAGTTTAAAATAATTTCAAATATGTTAAAAAACACCCCAACTACTGGAGACAAGCCAACAATCAGCCAAGCAAAAAAAACACAATGTATTATCCTGGTTTTCCGTCTCCTGACTTTATAAACACAGTAGAGAAAGCAAGTAGCAGCTGGTTCTCATTGGCTCCCACTGTTAACTGAAATATCTCTGTACCCTCCGGCTCCCACGAGGGCCGTGGTGAATATCCTTATATGCATGCCTGGGTGTGTGTGTGTGTGTGTGTTTGTGTGTGTGTGCTTGGAGCCCATCACCAGGATTAGTTGTGATAGGAGTTGAGTGACCTTGAGTTCAGCAGCGGTCCAGATAAACAGCGGAGGTGTTGATACTAAACCTCAGCAGCAGAACCCGGGGGACGTCACACTAAACCAGAGGTAACGATTTCAACAGACCCCTAATTCTGCCGGAGGATAGACATCACTTTAAACCCCCACTCAAGTGTGCTCTTAAAGATACCCGAACAGACACACATCAGCAGAAAAAGACGGATGGAAATCAAAAGCGAGAATCAGAAATGCAATTGTACCTTGAATATGAACGTAGCTGAACACAGCAGAATATATATTTGCATTTCCTCACTAAGGCGTTGTTTACTTTGCACGGCAGCAGGATGGCTTGGAGATTAACTTCACACACCCAGCGCCTCGTCTCCGTGAATGGATGCATTTCCTGTTTAACAGGACACTGACAAAGTAAGATAGTGGACTCCGGCAGGAGACGTAAAACACCATGAGATCTTCTCAAACCATCATCCCAACGCTGGTTCACCAGAGACTTCCACCACTAGATGGTTTTTCTTTACGTATTTCTACAGCTGTTGACCCAAAGAGGAAAAAAAACGTTCCCTCTCAACTTTGCTCTTTGGCTTTGATGTGCAGTCATGTTGACAGCATGTCGGACTGCATCTCCACAGGATGTGAT